TAAAAGGCGGATGTTTGTAGTTGAAGACCCATATGGAAAAGGTTCATGCTGTTCCTTTGCTTAAGAAGTGGATTGAATCCAGACCAGTCACCCGATCTTAATAATATTTTATTCTTCGCATAAACCTTATTGTAATACTGTGATTGCCCCAATGAAAATCTTTTCAAAAAGAAGTGATTCGAAGGACTTACGAGATAAAGCCTAACAACTACTGTTTCTTTCTTCTTTCTGTTTCAGAGCTCGGTTAAATGCTCTCTATGTTTGTGACCTTCACATTATCATAAGTTCTTCGAAAAGTGAATCGAGTACACGCGTAGTTTCCACTTCTAATCTCCCATACCCAGCCAATGAATCATTCTGAAGTTAACCCTTTGCAATTCACTCAATCAGTTTATGTCCTCAACTACAGGTAGCAGTTCTGGCATTCTACAATCTTTAATGACCTTTTATTACTCAAAAAAGAAACTTCCGTCTCATGAATGTCTTTTTGAATTCCAATAATTCTTCGTGCATGTATAACAAGCCGAACTTGTAGATACTCAACATCATGTTTCAATTGAACAGTTTTCTGTATGAACTTCCATGAGCTTCTTTCCGCACTACTGCGCATCGAGTTCTCACGAGTAAAAATAATACAACAATAGGAAAGCTTGGTTAATAAGACTCAAGCGTAGTTCTCTTAATTGCAAAGTGGAACATAACATTAAGCTCCCTCGAACCTAACTATTAAAGGTCTGATAATTTTGGGGTCCTACCACGAAAGTCGCAGCGCTCTCGAATTTGGTGAAAATCTGTACGTTCTCTTAGCTTTTTGTTCTCTTTCCGAATATAAACACAGTGATAAGCAATCGAACAACATATGTTTGTAAGGATTCGTTCTCATTAGAAACCTTTTTTTATCACAAAATGGGCTGCGTGAATTCATTATCTTGAGAAACTGCGTGTTTTTTGTTTGCATTCTAATATTTACTTTTGAGGTGTGATTAAACTAATATGAATTCTGTTCAACTCCAAGACTTCCTAACCAATCTATCAACTAACTATTCAGGAGAACAAGTATGTTTCTAGGGAAGATGATCTTGTTGTATTCTCTCTACTTATAGAAAAACGATGAAGTTGATCTAACTACAGTTCGAAGACTTGTTGTTAAAACACAAAATAGTTCACACATGTGTATGAACTATATTATCTGCAATTATACTGATATAGACTTAGTACAGCCCATTCTTGCTCAGTTGCTGGCTTTATATTATAAAGGAGGTAGAAACAGGTCATAGTATGATTGATGAAAGTATGGTTCCAGGTATTCTTCGTCAGTACGCCATACAGTACATTCCTGCTTTCATTGGTTCATACATGTTGGCCGCTTCTAAAAAACAGCAAAGAAGTGTTTCTATGTTTGAAACATTCTTCTTAGCTATCTATAACGAAGAAATACTGGAAACAAAAGGAAATTCTCCGATGGCCACGAAGAAGGTTTGAGGTCGCTTCGTTTTGACATCACATCCAATCATTGCTAGGTCGAGGAAATCCGAATCCCATCCATTCGTTTTCCTAGTATCTATCATGATCCTATGAAAATCACTTCTCTACCCGAAATAGCCACATTGCGTCCTGGAGGAGTTCCATCAGTTCTGGTAATACCCCTTCTCCTTGTGCATGTTCTATAATGTCTTTCAAGACAACAGTCCGAGTTGGACCCTACCCTAACTATGTCAACTTCTCCTCGGAGAATAAGTTTTTAATTCTGACAAAGCTTATGAAAACAGTTAGTTCATCCCGAATCGTTTGATGTTTTGTTAATTCCATTACAGGTTAATAACTCGGTTTGCTATATATACTCTGAAGTTTTATCCCGCTTTATTTGTCTCACAGCTTTATCCATATCCATGAGGTGTTTGAGTCTCACATCTTCTAACTTAACAATGTTCTTTCAGTGGATTCTCTTTCCCTGAAACTCCTTTGCGTCTGAAAGTCCTCAATCCTCATCATCAAGTAGAAGCAATAGAAGACTATTCCAAGTAAGTTGCTCACGTTTGCAATCTGCTAAGAATCAGTTTAGAAAAGCTCGCCAGCAAGTTAACAGTTCTATTCTCTTGGAACTACTCACTGGTAAATCAATATTAATAATCACAAACGACAGTTGTTTGAAGGTGTTTATTTATCTCTCTACAACGGGACTCCCGATCTTGCCCTCAGAGCTATAGATGCAGTCCATCAAAGAGCACAGTACGAGATGCTTCCTGACGTTCTCATCGTAACGAACGCCATAAGAAATGCTCTGTTGGAGAGTCCTGTTGCTAAAGAAAAAATTGACGAATTAGCTTGGAAAAGCCATAACAAGGTACTAAACATTGATATTCCTTGTTTTATTGACCATTAATCCAGGAAATCAAAAGAACTGACTTGGTCACGAATGCCTCTCTTCGTATGCGAAGAATGCCGGAAGACATCCCTATTCAACCAGAGTTGAAGGAGAAGGAGCATTCGAGAATCGGTGAATTAGTTGAAGAAGGTTTGATCCCAGTGATGATCTATGTAATGTTTACGTTTTGAAGGAATGGATCACTTCCATGACTTGAAGAAACGTGTATCGTCCATGTCATTGAATCCCAAAACATTACGACGAAGGAAAAGTGACGCAGTTGACGTATGCTGAAATCAATCTCGCTTTTCTCGAAACGATCTTTTTAGGTAGAGTTACTGCCTATTAGTGAAGAGAAACTTCAAGACAAAAACAATGCAGTTTCCGCGTCTCAACCGGATCAACAACAGGAGAAAACTGAAAGTAAATCAATGGAAAATAGTACAGATAATGGAGTAGTAGGAGATGTATGTTTCCTTGTTTCGTTTCGCATACAGAGATTATTCGGTTTTCAGCAAACATTAAAACATTCCGATGATGAATATGCTTCTGATGACGATGTCCGACCAAGAGGAACTTTCACTGTAAATGGCCTAAGGCATATGGATAGTGGTGGAAGTACGCAGAGGAGTATCGATCATTCTTAGCGACTTGTATAAATCTATAACCATTCCCGGAGAATGCTAGTACGTTGAAACTTTTAGATTTTAAATTATAAACTGCATGTACATTTATTTATTGAACACTTGGGTAGCCATTATTATAGTATTAATAAATATTATTTTTTACAATCATTCCACTGCTGTCATCTTCGAGACAACTCCACCTGCCGAAGCTGTTGCCAAGAACGCGAAAAGGGTTGCGATGAGAGCTAGCCAATAGCTATAGCCAAGCGAGGTATCGGCTAACAGTTCATAGGTTTGAGATAATAGGTAAGCTGAAAGTGTAAGCTAACACACATTGTTGAACAATGAATGACCTGTTTTCTTCTCATTGCGAACTGCGTATATGATTATGGCGGCAAAAAGACTGATGAAAGCAAGGAAACTAAGACTTATGGCTGGCATTTGCAGGCGTAACCTTGGCGAAAGTAAGCCGAAAAAGCATCCTGAACATTCATCAAACTATCAGTCTTCCTCTTAACCTTTGTACCTATTGCCATTATTTCGAAAAACAAAGCCAGAATCAAAAGAGCAAGTGTTATTTTTTCGAACGGGTACTTCGTCTATAATAATTTGTTTTTTGTTCTGAAAATGATACGTACCGCCCATTTCTGACAGTCCCAATCAAAGACTTTTCTGTATCCATGACCACAGTCTCTGGTTACAACGCCGAAAGTAGGAGCTCCGTCACCCTACGATATGATTAACTATCACTCAACGAGTGGATTTAATGAACCTTATATGATCTCCACGCAGGTGTGAACAAAGCGATAAGAGTGAAGATAAATGCAATGATTATAAACAAACCGTAAACGAATTTGACAGGGGATGAGCTTGCCATTTATCGGTAGAGAGGTAGTCTTCAGTAGAACTTCGAAGATAAAACTTTAGAAGAAAAAAAATTGGCCTCGTGCTCGTCTTCCGAACAGGGGTGCCAAGTTACGAATGAGCGACGGTAACCATGCAACATATTCTTCTGAATTTTCCATGAATAGAGCTCTGGTGTATGAACAAAGCTTTGCTAAGAAACCTTCTTTTCGAAAATCGATAAATCGTGTGATCATAACCACCCGACAGTCCATTTGCAAGAACTTCTACACGTGAGCGGTCGCATTCCATCATTTATGGCTCCATGAAATGAAAGAACCTTCTATTTTTTCCAATAACGCAATTAATTATTGTGTTATGTGAAGATTTTAGCAAATTATATAATGAGGCATAATTCCGAACTACTGTTATGCAATATGACACGAACCTCGGAAACCGAATGAACATTAGTTTAAAATGAGATTAGTTGTTAATACCAAACATTAGAGCCTTCTGAACTTGATTCTGAACTCTCATATGTTTTGATGATACCGTTGCGCTGTTGATGATCAGTTTAGAAATTAATGTTTCGAAATAATAATCAAAGATCAGAATTTCTATTACTGTCTCTTCATGGGGTATCCCCTTTTTTCGGATACGTAATGTTTAGTGTCTATCATATCTCATCATGTTCGGAGAATCTTGAAGCAGCAACTTACACAATTCAATATAATAGTGGAAGTGTAACATGGTTCCTCTTATCATTAATGACTTTTTTTAGTTCTTAGTCTGTATGCACCCGAAACAGTAATTCAACATTCCGGTAGACAGACACGTGGCATACTTAGGACACAACGCACCTAAGTTAACGACACTAATGTATATTTTTTATTTGTAATCAATTCGTATCATGTAGTAGATATTGAAACACAATGCTTCAGAACTAACAATAGGCAAGACGAACAAGAAACCCCAAAGAACGATTGAAAGCCTTGTTGAAAATGAGAGATAAGACAACGTCGTTGAAATTGATGGACCGCCCCTTTGCATCTGACTTGCTAACCCTATAAAGAAGCCGAAGTCTGATGGCGGCAGAGCTCTGTTCAACAACTTGTGCAAGCTGGTGACTTATTGCCACACACTTCGCAACATCTGTTAATCATTCTTCAAGTTTTCTGATATGAGAACAAGCCCACCAAGAAAAAATTCAATGCGTGGTTTACATCATCATGTGAGTTACTTATTTTTCAAGAGCTTCCATAATCATGTTTCCTTTTTGATCTTTTCAGGATGCTTTGACTAAAGTCAAAAAAATAGAAAGAAAGAGAAATGCCAGCGTTAGCGATGGACATGCTTACAACAAGAAGGTAAACCAACCACCTAGCTATGACCTCTAAGAAGCATTTCAGATCAAAAAAATTCACGATGAATTCATAGAGAAAGCCAAGGAAGTCATTCCCGAGAAAAAGACGTCAACTGTGAAAACTCCCGACGGTTTGTGTTTCGTCAAGTTTAAAGACTAATTGATATTGAAATCCTCAAATTATTTTTTCCTTCCACATGAGAACTAGTTTTCATCTAATTAACGTCATATGAGAAGGCAATTGAGCCAATCAACCTACTCATGATACCCCTATCTTGGACTGTCGTCATCAAACTGTCTCCACATTGTTTTGTTGTAAAAACCCAGAGACAATCTAGTTCTTTGTCTCGAGTCCTGACCATCAAGAAGATATAATCATTTAAACTTTGACAGAAGTGATTCTTCGAACTATGAAAAGCATTACAAAATCATTTGACTGATTAATTCTGTTTTTCAGAAATTCTTTTCGATCCCGATTGTGATCCTCAGAATCCAGTAAAAATCACTTTCTCTGATATTTCCAGCGCTGCTTTCAGCATCAAGTCTGGAATTCAGAAGACACCATGCTCTGTAAGGCTTTCAAAACTCTTAATGAATAGATATATGAATTCAGCGATCCTCACAACTGTCTACTCTCTACGGGATGGATTTATATTTCAAGAAAGTGAGTTGTTTATTCAGTTAAACAGCACTATATCTTACATTTTTAGGAATATTTGCAAGTTACTGGGTCATTCAAAGAGAGAGGTGCTCGATATGCGATTTCTCGTTTGACCGAAGCTGAAAGGAAGGCTGGAGTGATTGCCGCTAGTGCTGGTAAAAACCTTCATACTGATAGTTCAAAATTTTTGCTTTGAAGGCAATCACGCTTTGGCTTTATCGTTCCATGGACAACAACTGGGAGTACCTGTTACTGTGGTCATGCCTGTTGTTGCTCCTCTTATGAAGATATCTTTATGTAGATCATACGGGGCTAATGTCATTCTCAAAGGTGACAATATTGGAAAAGTATGTTTTTCAGCTTTGAACATATTCTACAAAAGTATTATAGGCAAAAGACTTTGCTATGAGACATGCTAAAGAACACGGAATGAAATATATCAATGGTTACGACGCTGCAGCTGTCTTGGCTGGCCAAGGAACTATAGGATTAGAAATTTTGGAGCAAGTCAATGATGTTGATGCTGTCATTGTGCCTGTTGGCGGTGGCGGTCTTATTGCTGGTGTAGCTCTTGCTATCAAAACCCTGAAACCTGCCGTTCAAATAATTGTGAGATAATCTAATATATATACTTCATATTTTTTTATTCTCAGGGAGTTGAGTCTGAGACTTGTCAATCATGGACTGATGCGGTTGCAGCAGGAAAGCCCATATTATCAAATGTTAGCAGCAGTTTAGCTGATGGTTAGATTGAAGAAATGTTTTTTATACATTGATATGTTTAAGGATTGGCTGTTCCTCTAGTTGGAGGAAATTCCCTCGCAACTGCTCATGGTTATATTGACAAAATGGTTACAGTTCATGAGGAATTCATTGCTTTGAGTATTCTGCGACTTTTGGAAATGGACAAGGTAAGCAAAAGTTTTTTATAAGCAATCTCACCAAAGGAACAGGCTGTAGTCGAAGGAGGTGGAGCCGTTGGTTTGGCAGCCATCATCAGTGGAAAACTACCTGAGCTTAAAGGAAAAAGGTATGAGAGCTTAAGAGCAATGAAGATTTATGTTCTCATATTTCAGAGTCGTTTCGATCTTAACAGGAGGAAACATTGACACCACCGTCCTAGGAAGAGCAATTGAAAGAGGTCTCGCAGTCGATGGACGTTTAATTCGTTTGGAAGTTATAGTATCTGACAGACCTGGAGGTAAATCATTAGACTTATGTCGAGCAGTTCATAGAGATACTTAGGTATTGCTGAGTTGGCTACCAGAATAGCTCAACTCGGAGCCAGCATCAAAGATATATTCCATGAAAGGGCATGGCTCAGTACAGATGTGTTTTCCGTGAAGGTAAATCTCATTTATAGTTTGACATTGATAATTCGATTACTTCTTAGGTGAAAGTAGTAATAGAAACAAGGGACAAAGATCATGTGAAAGAGATCGAAGCATTCTTAAAGGAGAAATATACTGGGGTCATTATTCTCGATGTACATTCTTAATATTTTTAAACATTTTAGGTTTATATCTCTTAACTGGACATATCGGTATTATGTAATCGCAAGAACTTGGGCTGGTATATGTGCTCTCAATAAAACTTATTAAGACATTCTTATTATAATCTTTATTCAAATTACGAGGCGTTAAATATACATGAACCACCGGTTTTTCAAAAAAAAACGGTGAAAAATAAAACCCCAGGCTAGGTATTAGGTCACGTTTCCACGTGGACGTGGAGGGCAGTGTCACGTAAAAATCATTCTTCAGTGAAATTTGCTAAGATCTGGTTGGTGATCATGGCTAAAATTGACATTGATAATTTGATGCAAAGGCTCTACAATGTTGGAGCAGGTGGTGGCCGACTTACTCAAACGGCAAGTATCTATCCGCCAAAACGTGACTAGTTCTGTATAGGTTTCCGAGCAAGAGTTACAAGCATGCGCCCAAATGGCAAAAGAGGTTTTCAAAAGCCAATCTTCGCTCATTGAAATCGTTCCTCCAGTAGTAGTCTGTGGTGATATTCATGGACAGGTACACTGACTTACTATATTATGCCTGGGTTACATTCTGTTTTCAGTATTCGGATCTCTTGAGGATTTTGGATAAGAATGGTTTCCCTCCTGATGTCAATTACATTTTCCTTGGAGATTATGTTGACCGTGGTCGCCAAAATATAGAAACGATCGCTCTTATGTTTTGCTTGAAGATCAAGTATGATTAATTATATAATACTGTAATCAATCGCACGTTTGTTTAGATTTCCAGAAAATTTCTTCATGTTAAGAGGAAATCATGAATGCCCTGCAATCAATCGTGTCTACGGGTTTTTTGAAGAGTGCAATCGTCGATACAGAAGCCCACGCTTATGGAACACCTTCCAAGTAAGCAATATTCAGTTTCATAATCATACTCACACTTTTATCATTAGGAAACTTTCAACTGGATGCCTCTTTGTGGTCTGATCGGCAATCGTATTCTTTGTATGCACGGAGGACTTTCACCCCAGTTGAACAGTTTGGATCAACTCAGAACTCTTGCTAGGCCTCAAGATCCTCCTAATCCATCTATGGGAATAGATCTCCTTTGGGCTGATCCTGACCAATGGGTTAGAGTAAGTTTAAGACGAAAAAGAATTATTTGCATACCAAAATAATATTAACAGGGATGGCAAGCTAATACAAGAGGAGTATCATACGTTTTCGGACAAGATATTGTTATGGAAATGTGCCAGAAGCTCGATATCGACTTAATAGCTCGTGCTCATCAAGTAACTTTGAATTAAAGAACAATGTGAAAGATTCGTTATTTAGGTTGTACAAGACGGTTATGAATTCTTTGCTTCCAAGAAATTGGTAACAATATTCTCAGCCCCCCATTATTGCGGCCAATTTGACAATTTCGCAGCTACGATGACGGTATAATTATAGAAATAAAAGAGATATTGACCAAAACATTTAGGTTCGAGAAGACATGGTCTGCAACTTCTTCATATACAAACCTACTAATAAAGCAATCAAAGCTCCCAACACTTAACTCATACGGTGTTTCCGAATAAAGTTATGATACAATATAATTACTAATTTTATATGAACTACTCGAAAAGCACAACAACCGGGCAAACACACACACTTCCAATGTTTTAGAACATAGGGTATAGGCCACGCCTTCTTTTCCATGCGGCTCTGTCGTTCTTTGCAGCCTTTGCAGTGCTCTCTCTTCCTTTATTCAGATTTTTGAATTCTTCATACATTATTCTAAAACATCAGATTTTTAAGCGGATGCTCTCTTTAAACCAGGGTGTTGGATCTGCTCTGAAGTATTCTCAGTTCCGAAATGTAAAACATTTTTCTGCATGGATCAATCGCGCGAAGTAAACATAGTCGGAGAAAGTCCCATAATCCATTAAATGATTACAGAGCCGATGCAGATACCTCGATATCATCCAATGTTGATGCGGAAAAGTTATTCATCGACCACGATGTTCAGTCGCTCTTATCAGATCTTACTGGTTTAGATTTAGAGAAGAAAGTGAGTTATTTCTGCGCTTGAACATGGCATTCTGATATTCTTCTAGGTATTCCGAGAGCGTAGAACAGGGTATCAGCAGAGATCTCACTTTGCTTTAATGACGGAAGAACGTCTCGAGAAGGTTTGAATTGCTTTTTGAACTTTAAACCAGTTAAATGTTAAGACTTTCGAAAAAATGCGTGAAGAAGCAAAGCACTTCCTTCAATTCGTTCCGCTTAAAGAGCCTAGACCTGCCAGGGTAGAGGTATTATCGCAAGACTCAGATATTGAAGGTTTCGATAAGAGTAAATATGTTTTCACTGATATAACTTTCGATGCTACTGATCAGGTAATTTCATTCTCTTCTGCGAAAGTAATTATGTTTTTTAGGACCGTACTGTTGTCGTCCGTGAAGTAGATGGAACTTTACGTACTGCTACTCCATCAGAGCATGATCGCATGAACAGAACGTATTATGAAAAAACAAACCGTCCTGTTTTCTCTCCCCCTGTGTTTGAGGATCCCAATTTACAAGTGAGCATGTTTTTCTATTCTCATTCTTGATATTTTTCTTTTATAGAATGCCTTAGAAAGAGATGAACACGAGTTCGTCCTTGATTGGGCCTGCTGGTTCTACGAACCTGATGACCCAAGTTTTGTTAGAGTAGGTTGTTTGTTTTGTTTCAATATGTGTTGTGTTCATTTAAGTTATCCCAAAATGTTTTCGACAAAATCGTTGACACTCAGAAGTTTGATGTGCTTCATTCTACTCGCCACTTTGGTCCTTTCGTTTTCTATTTGGCTTTGAACGGGAATATCCCACCCTTATTAAACCATTTAGGAGGGCAGGGGAGGTAAGGGAAATTCCGAACTCGTGCTTCTATATTTCTATTGAAAGGTTACGAGACTGTGCCAACCTTATTCGTTTACAAAAAACTCTTCATCCAAATTGGAGAGTCACAATTAGCAGTAGTGATTCTGATGAGAAAATAGTCAAAGATTACTTGAAAGAGGTTAGCTTTCGTTATGAACATTCGTAATCATGAAGCCTTCAGAATAATCGTCAAAAGGATCAGCTCAAAGACCTCACCGCATATTTGAACGATGGAATAGTGAAGTCTGAAAGAAAGGCGAAGAAGACTTTCAATCAAAAGAAAACAGTTACAGCTCAGGTATGATGAATTCTGTCGTCAATCTTTCATTTATCCATTGAAGACCTCTATAAATGCAAATAATGTTGACTCTTCCGAAGGACCTTTGGGAGAACTAAGTGATGAATATAAAGTTAATGTGAGTTGTAAAATTGTTTTCTCTGCTCATTAATATGTTCACAGGTTGTTAAAGATGCTGAGGGGCCCACTAAAGAAAGAAGACCTTTCAAGAAAGACACAATACGCAAAAGAGATCCAAAGAAATGAGAGCCCAGCAAGTTTTGTTAAGACTTTCAATTTGTATATTTTAGAAAGAAAGTAGCTAGGAAGTATTCTTATAACTGTTACTGTTGTACTTGTTGATTTTAAATATATTCTAACAATTGGCTCGTTCTCTCTGATGCTCCGAAGTTCTGATGCTTTGAATACTTCTCGTTCTGTTACATGTTACTTACTAACTTTATTTTAAAGAGTCAATCTGCATGGGAAGGAAAAACATTTCTTCCGTTAGACGTGTCTCGAACAGAGGAGACAAGCCTGTAAATTCAGAACATGCACCTATGTAAGTCTTGAATTCTTTATTAAAGTGAGTTTTTTTGTTGTAGTATTAGAAGTGTGGAGAAGAAACCATCATCTCCTGTAAGGGAAGCATTCAAGAAGCTTTACTCAAACTGTGATAATGATGAGTCTGTTTGGGTGCCTGGTCCCAATGCCGTTATTAAAGTAAGAAGCACCTTCCCTATTTTGATAATATTTTGTTCAGTTTATGGCATCTCTTCGACTTTGCTCGGCAATGTGGGGAATAATAGGAGATTGTGATGAAGTGTACAATTATTGGGAGCCTTTACATCTTTTAACATATGGAGAAGGTTTCCAGACATGGGAGTATTCCCCATTATATGCAATAAGGTAGAGTTCATGCTCATGATGTTCACAATCCTATGCTTACAGGTCTTACCTCTACATATACTTACACTACATCCCTGCGAACATTTTCGCTCAGATTTTTCCAACTTCTAAGATCGCCGTTTTTGTTTGCATGAGATGCGTTCTAGGAATAGCTTGTCTATCAGCGGAATACATTCTTTTTAGAGCATTATGTGAAAGGTCGGTGTTTTTACTTTCTCAAAGTGTATATCCATCTTTTCAGACTAGGTAATAGTATTGGTCGTTTCTATGTACTACTCTCTATCCTCTCTGCTGGAATGTTTATTTCTAGGTTAGTTTAGATAACTTTACTTTTGAATTTTCTCAACTTTAGTACTGCATTTTTACCTTCAACCTTTGCAATGGTCATGAACATGCTTGCCATCGCCTATTTCCTGAGGGAACAATGGTTTCATTACTCTGATTATTTATTTTTAAGTTTCATCATCTTTAGGCTTGCAGCGATCTACTTCACTGCTTGTGCTGCCTTGGTGGGATGGCCTTTTGCAGCAATGCTTGGTTTGCCCATCGTGGTGCATATGGTTTTCATCAAGCCGAAGTCAGTTTTTATCTCTTGTGTTGGTTTTAATTTTATTTTCTTCCAGAGATCTTGCTGTACAATTTGTATATTACGCTCTTCTTTCGGGACTTGTCATCTTGTCTCTCTTGTTCACTACTGACACTTACTACTACGGAAAGCATGTTCTTGTAAGTATACTGATAAGACTTCTCGACTGAATCGTCTTTTAAGGCTCCATTGAACATTGTTTTGTACAATGTGTTCTCAGGACACGGTCCCGATTTGTATGGCGTTGAACCATTATCGTTTTATATCAAGAATCTCCTACTTAATTGGAATATTGCTATTGTTTTCGCCCTGTTATCAGTTCCTCTGTGTGCTATAGCTTTGTTGAAATCCAAGAAGAAGTCGGTAAATGAGAAATGTGTTTTGGGATTAAGTAAGTCTTATTTCTGAGGAATAATCCATGATTGTGTTTAGATTCTACGTTTTGGAGAAGCATATCTCCAGTCCTGCTGTTATTCTTGGGTCTTTTCGCTTGGTGCCTCGTGTTTTTCACTCAGCCACACAAAGAGGAAAGATTCATGTTCCCTATTTATCCATTGATCGCTATCTTCGCAGCTATTGGTCTCGACGCAACACAAAGGTATAAAGATTAATGTGATAGCTAATACTCATGTGTTCAGAATTTTATCTCCTTATTCAAACACCCTCAAACAATGTGTGTGGCTTGTCGTTGTGCTGTTCACCTGTCTTTCCATATCCAGAGCTTATGCTCTCCAGAATAACTACGGAGCTCATATTGAAGTTTGCATCCTATCATTTTCTGTTATAATTATCCTTGTTACAGGTATATAAAAGTCTGAACGAGCATCTGTCTGTTGTTGAACCCAAGCGAGACTTCGGTGGACGAGCGGTTTGTTATACTTCCTCATGTGAACGTGTGTGAACGAATTTCTCATTCCAGGATCCAATCCGTGTATGTGTAGGAAAGGAATGGCATCGTTTTCCATCCTCTTTCTTCTTACCTGAGAAAATTCAGGACAGAACCAACAACACAAGAAGTATGCTCTATCTCTCAATTCATTTAATTTCTTATTGTTCAGAAGTTAAGCTGTTCTTCTTGAAAAGTGAGTTCCGTGGTCTGTTGCCCAAGTACTATCCCAAAGGAAAGCTTCCGCTTATCACAAAAGCGATACCTACGGAGATGAACGATTTGAACAAGGAAGAGACCAGCAGGTTTTATAAATTGATGACGTTGTGATTCTTATACTATAAGCTAGATATGTGCCTTTCGACTCCTGTGAATACCTTGTAGATTTGGAAGTGCCAGAAGAGTTTAATACGAAGTTAGAACCAAATTACGGACTAAGAGTAAGGCGGCAGAGTGAAGTATCATCTAATCGTTGCTGTTTTCAGACTGATGTCTTGGATAAAATAGCTTGTCATCCCTTTATGATTCAATCAAAATCTCACTGGATGTACCGAGCTCTCTATGTGCCATTCCTTTCTTCGAAATATTTAACCTTTGGCTCTTACTGCTTGTACCAAAGATTGTAATTAGAATATTTTAAGGCTTTATTAGGTATGTTTGTTAAATTTGCGATAGTACATTGATTTACATAGTTTTTTTATTCAAATTATGTTGTTTTTATGTTTTCCACTCATTCATTCATTATTAACTTATTGCCGGTGTTTCTCACTTGTCACCACTTCGTTAAAGCTATCGGGTTAGAACAGACTTCATCTAAATGAGTGGTTCATTTCCACTTCCGTTACCTAGACACCTTTGTAGCCTTTCTTGCCTAACACACAATTCAGAATGACGGATGATAGCGGCACTTCTCGGTTGAAAGACGAAAAGGAAATATCAGAGGTATGTGTACGATCATTAATAATCTCAATCATAATTCCTAGACTGTCATGAGATGTGGAACGGCTCTCGTGAAATCCACAAAAGTCCTCCCTAAAAGAGGAGGGGATTTTGAGTTCTGTAACTCATTTTCAACGTTTAATGGACTTGTTGAACAACAAAAGGATCGAGTTCTTAGATTGTTGGGTTCGATACCTAACGACAGCATCAACATTGCTTTTTCAGGATGTCTGAAACATTACGAGTGGTGGGTTATCCTACAAGGTTTCCAAAAGATGTTAGTATCGACTTAATGACGGATATGATGGTAAATGGTTGCGATAATGTAGCTGAAAGAGCTGTGAGTTTTCGTTTTCCTGTTGTTCAATAATACGATTCATGAAGGGTGTACTCATGGATGTATTAGAAAGAGCTGGTAGAGATGAAGAAGTTAAAGTTCCCCAAGTTATAGTTGGAGCTGAATCGACCAAAAGAGGTTTAGTTGTGTTTGAATAATATTTCCACCTATCGGTTGGTTGTTTAGCTGAAGCTTCTAAAGTTTTGAGCACTGACACCTATTTTAATATTGCTGATCGTCTACGTGCAGCTCATGAGGAGAGGGAAAAGTTAAAATCCCGGAAAACAGTAGGATTAATCAAGTCAAACACCTGCTAGCCTTCAATTTCAGGTTACAGCTGTTACTAAGCCACAGAAGGAGTATAAAATTGCACCCCTGATCGATAATTCTAGCTCCCCATTTATTAACAAATTGAGAATTAAACATAATGCCCGCGAGAAAGGCAGGCAAGGAATGAAAGTGATTGACTTAGAAGAAGGAAAGTAAGTTTGGTTTTGCGTATTGATCTTCATTTCTTCATTAAGTTCTGCTTGGCCAGCTGAGGAATTAGGTTCTGACCACCCATACAGAGTTGAGTTGGAACATTTCCATCCTTCTGAGAAAGAAATGACTTCAAGAGAATGCATTGTATGTTTGTTGTTCATATTTTCGGAATCCAACTTCTTCTTCACAGAAACCCAAAAAATTAGAAGATACAGATCTAACCATTGTCAATACTAAAGAAGGATTGGAAAAACTTGTCGAGGTCCTTAATGGTGTGACAGAGTTCGGAGTCGATATTGAGGTAACATATCATGTTGAAAACAGCTCAACCTATTCCATCTTCAGCATAACTCCCATCGCTCATATTTGGGATTAACATGTTTGATTCAAATTTCTACAAGAGATAGAGATTTCATCGTTGATCCTTTTCCTATATGGAACGAGATGTACCAATTGAATGATCCGTTCACGAACCCTAATATCCTTAAGGTGTTGAAACTGTAATTCCTCCTTATCACCAGATTGTTCCAGGTTTTGCACGGAGCAGGCTCTGATGTTGAATGGCTACAGAGAGATTTTGGTATTTACCTAGTCAATATGTTCGATACCTACAATGCTATGAGGCATTTGAATTATGAGAAGTTTTCTTTGGCTTTTCTCGTACAGAAGCAATGTGGCGTTGTTCTCGACAAACAGTATCAATTGGATGATTGGAGAATAAGGTATATTAAGAGTAACAGACTTAATGAATCATTTCCTTCAGACCTTTACCTCAAACTCACTTGAATTACGCTCGGGGTGATACTCATTATCTTCTCTACTGTTACGATAAACTGAGAGAAGCATTGTTGGCTGCTGGAGATGACAAAAAGAGCCTGTTGGCCTCTGTTTATGCGGACAGTAAAACAACATGTCTGAAGGTGAGAGTGACTTCTTTAACCTTCTGATACATATTGTTTAGACCTATGAAAAGCCCCACTCTAACTCGGACTATGAAAAACTTCTGGGTTCAAGAAATAGATTTAATAGTCAACAAGTATTCAATTCAACTCTCTTTGTTATCTATTATCTTATCTTTAGCTTTTCGCGTTATCCCAACTTTTCAAATGGAGAGATGCTGTAGCCAGGCGAGAAGATGAGTCTACCCACTACGTTCTCCCGAATCATATGATGATGAAAATAGCCGAGGCACGGAACATCTTTCATTTTCAATTTCTTTTTTTCTCTTAAGGCATTACCCAGAGATGTTCCAAGTGTGTTAGCTTGTTGCAGTCCAGTACCGGTACTAGTGAAAAAACACGCAATAGAAATTCAGAGGTGTGTATCATATATGAAACTTGGTGAAAGAAAACATTTTCAGTATAATGTATACGGCTAGAGAGAAACCCGTAGAGAGAACTTATATCGAAGAGAAGATGGCTAGAGGTGATGATGAAAGCATTCTCACCAAAATTGATGAAAGGAACAGAATGAACGCCTCCAACTCAGTTCTCAGGTAGTCGAGAAAAAAACACAACCTGTAATTCTGTCTCTATTGAAGATGTAAACTCGATTTTTCCCAGTCGAGGTTTGATGAAGAAGTTGGGGTCAAGCAATCTGTCACTGATCTCAGTAATTTGAGCATCAAGTCACACAATGAAACTTTCTTGAACTTTTTGGGAAGTTCTAAGAAAGACAACCGAAAAGATCTTATAATAGACGATAGTGTGAGTCAATTTGCTTCTTATCGTAGTGATGAAGAATGTTTAGGTTTATTTCCAAGATAAAAGGAAATCTGTTTTGAAAGAAATGGAGAATTGGGCCTCTCCTTATGAGACCTACTGTTTAGGAGTAAGAATGGCTGAGAAGAAGAGGGTGATTTGATTGAAAAAAATATATATGATCACATTCCTGTTATAGAAAGCTATGGAACTATTGAAACAATCTGAAACTACTACTGCAGAGAAGAAATTGTTTTCTCATCATGATCCTGTGGTTTCAAGACCAAGAGTAGTCCACCCTGAGGTAATGAATGAATTTCTCATAATTCCAACATAATGTCTTCAATTCAGGAAGATGACGTGCAGCTCTCGACAAAGGAGGCGGGTGGTGCGATACCTAAGAGGCCTACTTTCACAGACGATCAGATTCTTACAAAGAAGGCCCTCAAACGACAAATCAAAATGGTAAGTAGCTAGAACAGAGCCAGATTTTCTAAAAAAAAATGCGACCGCTCTCTATCGAAAATTTTTTTCCAAATGAAATAATTGCCATACTGCACGGGTGTTTTCATTTGTTTTCTCTTCAGAACCGCAGAGCGGCTGATATTTCAACAAATCTGCCATCAGCAAATCAAACCAATAATGAAGATGAAGCAGATAGCAGTTTTGGAAAACGGAAGAAAGAAGATGTTAAAGACGAAGTTGTCGACGTTAAGGAAGAGGAGGAACCTGTAGATTACAGTTCATTCGACCCTAGTATGTTCCGTAAGTTATCGTTTTAACAAACCGAAGTTCTAACCGTAAACATTGCAGATCAGAAACCACATTCTGGTAATTTCGATCCATTCCATCAGAATTTCCGTGTGGAAAGGCAAGGTAAGATCTCCAGAAGAGGCCGAGGAGGAAAGCACAGATTAGGTGTTATGTCTACTTCTTACAAACCAGAAAAGAAATGATTAAATCTCCTTGATAGGGGACATTGTTGAATATTGTTATTTGAAACTAATTTTTCATCGTTTTTGTTGTTTCATTATACATTTCTAGTTGATGTTCTTTTCATGAGGCGATCAGTTTGGTCTGAATCATACCTTTCAATTGTCAATGTTCACTTTTTTATATTTTCTCTCTCATTAGAAAATGGATCCCGTCCAAGGAAGATTAAGACCCATGAAATGCGTCTTGGATTTCTTAGAGAGAGCTGACGGATCCTGTTCGTATTCGCAAGGGGGAACCTCTTTATGGGCGAGTGCCAATGGACCAGGTGTTTTCTATAACTTTTGAACTTGTAGTAAGTCTCTAGATTGTAGGAGATGTTCATGTGGCACGACGAGAGAATGATAAGATGTTAATAGATCTCAGCTTCAGAAATATTTCCGGAGATTCTCAACATCATAAGGTTCTTTGAAGTATTAGCAACCTTTTGTAAATCTTTTTAGTTAAATAATATTATTGAGCTGGCAATATTCCACGCAGTTTATGTGAAACGATTCCCTAGGTGTTGTCTAACTGTAAGCAATTTCATATTTTGTTTTCTCTACTTGCTGCTATAGGTAACGATACAGTCATTGCAATCAGATGGCAGTGTTGGGGCTGCCGCTTTGACAGCCGCTTCCTTGGCTATCCTAGATAATGGAGTATGTAGTCGGTGAGTTATCGAGATGAACCGGAATACAGATCTCTTCTCGTGCAGGGCCCCTTTCTGTGGAGTTCAAGTTGTTATAGTTAATGGTGAATTCATCGTGGATCCTGATGAGAAAACTGAAAAAAGCTCCACAGCATCATTCCTTTATGCTTTGGAGAAAAACGCAGAGGTAGTACAAGTAGTCGAGCTGAAACGAAGGAATGTTAACGCATTTAGGGAAGGATTGCTGTTTTATGTTCCGATTCTGTTGGCCCATTTAGTTTGGAGGAGTATGGTAAAGCGTTAGCTCTGGCTACGGAAGCAGCGAAAGAGATCTTCAACTTCTTCCATGAGACATTCCAACGTAAACTAAGTGTAGGGGGATTTGTGGAGAATACTGTAGTGGATGAAGCTGAGTGAAACCCGTACGTAGTTTGTTAATTTGTTTGTTTTTATTGGCTTGTTGTTGAATGTACATGTACTTTCTCTCCGCTTTATATTTTGTCATTGAATTTAAATCATAAGGGCATTACGAATTTGTGAGATTAATGTCTTTTTGATGGTATCACTGACGACCTTCCATGCTAGTGCGATAGGTTTACGATGCCAACGTAAGCATCAAGACTAAGAAGACGAGTAGAATCACTTATTTGCACATTGAAATATTCACACTCGTCATTTTGACTAATGTGTTCGATAATAAATTGTTTTCTGAGGATGAAATTGAGAGAAAGACAACGGAATCTTCTCGCGCGCTCGTAAGGTACAGTAATCAATCTCATGCTTAAGTATCAAAAATTATTTTGTCCTTTCCAGCCTCCCACTCATTTTAATCTAGAAGAAGTCGTTTTCTTACCCAGTCGTCCGTACGAGCCAGTCCTTGGCGGTATATTTTTTTACAGACCCCTTTTTTGTATTGAAATCAACTTGAAATCCGTGATTGTCTGAGTCACACAGTTTTTTCTCTATCAAAACCCTCAGGCAATACTAACCGACAGAAGAAAAAGAACACACGCAACATCAGCGGTTCCTTTCAGATTTCATCGTCTGTTTGGTAAAAAATGTTGGAACGTGTCGCTCGTTCTATAAATATGATATATACCCACACGGATTCTTTATTTCACTCTCATCATCTAATTTATAGGCGTAGATTCTGTGTTAAATGCGTGTGTGTGTGTGTGAACAACTATTCCATTTCCATTCCCGAAGTCTTGCATATCGAAAGAGAACTGTTGAAATATTATGAAAACAAAACTTCTTCACAATATCTTTCCTCTCATTCATATTTCTCTCATACATTCCCGTCTGCTAAACCGTTCCTCGGCTTACAGTTTTTTGTCATTTCTGTTGATTCAAGTTCTGCTGTTCACCCTTGAAAAACTTGCTTTTAATCAGAAAGTTTATGAAAAACATTCATAACGTGCGTGCGTGTAAACGACTTGTTTAAAAGTTTGAGGAAAATGTAGAGAGAGTGTGATTAGATGAAGGAAATATTGATAAAAACGAAAAGTAACAATGTGAACCCGTAATAGGAAGTTATCGTTCTTCAAACAGGGGTCAACCGACTACTGGACAATCTACAGAAGAAGTACTTTGAGATTCGTATCAGTACGCAATTATTCGTTTAATATGTGAAAGTTAATTATTGCCCGCCCATTGTTTTTTTCCTTGCGTCTTCGATTACTGTAGAATTCCTCATGAAAGCCATGCATGCTTGAAACTTTTGGGAAAACAGTCTGAATTTAAAATTTGCATGGAACGGTTGCGTGTGATGGAGGTCCGTAATAGATTTAAATCAGGTTAGTCTTGTTTAGCGTTTTGAGAAACTGTTAGAGTAACACAATCTGAGTATCAACTTCTTCTATCCGACGATGTTCACGTGAAACCCACGTAACCCTCATTTGAATGACACGTTTTCATTTTGAGATTTCGCGCCATGGGGAACGGTTGTGTTATCCTTGTATAATTTATTCCTCCTCGTTGTTTACATTTGTTCATATTGGCAAGGAAACAGCGTGAAGAAAACCTCTTTTCATTTCCTTCCGCATTTTGGTTTCATTAAGCTATAGGACCAACCATGCGAATCCTGACCAACAGTTTGACTGGTTTCTAACAGAAAACGCTTAACTATAATGAGAATAGCTATAAGTCGTCGGTTTTTCTTTCTTTTTTTTTATGAAAGTTATGACTTTGAGAAGCTTTTGAATTGAACGATTCCGGTATAATTGTTTTCTATAGTTAACGTTTCTAAGTCCTCTTCTCTGCACAAGATAACGCTTAACCCAGAAACAGACGTGTAAATTTATCTTAGGAGTATGAGATGCCATTAGAATGTGTCATTTAATTTGATTGTTTTCGATCGAACTTGAGTTTTAGGAATGGCCATAAATGCATTCTTACGATCATTTTGTCTATCACTGTCTGTATGATCGTATTCTTTTGAACGTGTGTCGTCTGCGATGCAAGGGCTTCCTTCTGTTTGACTTCTTTGATTCTCTACTAGAAATTCTTTTTCTCATCACTGATTTCCTCTTTTTCTTTGTGTCATTTTACTCCCTCTCGGGTTTGAGTCTTCATGAGTGATCATTAAGAGAGTTGATGGCCAGGCTAGGTGATGTGCTTGATGTGTCTCTCCCCATCAGAAGATGGTGGGAGAATCCTCGCCGTTAAGGCAATCCAGTAGAGAATGCGATAAAAAGAGAAAAAAAAGAGAGAGAGAGCTGAGAGAGAAATATCAATTAGAAGAGAATGAGAGAGCGATAATGATAATGATGATGCTTATGAAGGAAAGGTGCTTAAACGATGTTAGGCACACGGGCAGAAATGGAAAGGCTAGTGATAGCAATTGATAAAGAAGATAGGAATTGATTGAATCGCCATCAGAATGCGATGAACTGTCAGCATTAACAACAGAATTCTGCCTTTTAAGTTCTTGTTTCTCCTTTTCCCTCCTTTTCTATTAGCAAGTCTGAGAATCTACAACCATTTCTTGCTATTTCCCGTTAACATTTGTTCTGTATTTTAGTTTATTCTGATGGTTAATTCCTAATTTGTCCTCTGATGTACGAGGTAATTCAATTGATTCTTTCGGTGAGATAATTTTCTGGTGCAAAATTTATGCGTATTTACATCAATCTGCTTCTGGTGATTATCATCGTTCAAAACATGAACAAACAAGTCATCAATAAAGCATTCATCTCTTGATCATATCATCTTCCCCCACTCTTTGTGTTATTCTCATTCTTTTTCTCTAGCAACAACTCTGTCTAACACGTCACATCCCTTGTTCTTCCTTGCGATGTCACGAAATACAAGGAAAATCAGACATCGTACAAGAAGATGTTTAGCGGATGTTCTTTCTCTATATCATAACTCAACTTCCTCCTCATCCACTTCATTATTATGATGTCTTTATCTCTATTTTAAAGTTTATTTTCTCTGAACGTCTCCTTGAATGCCCTAGCGAAACTGTTTGTCAGGTAATACTGCAAACTTTATCAGTTATGGTTATCAGTTGAAGGTATGCAACCTATACCGTAATTCGATATTGACGAAGCACTAAATGAACCTCTATTCCCCAGCTGTAAGCAAGAAACTGACGCTACTATTGGTTCAATTATTTCATACTACTTATTCTTCTCACTCGTATTGTGTAATACTAATACAACGGACGATTCCAATTACAAACAACTTTCAAACTTCAAGAAGTTGTTGTCATCCATTCGTATACTTCGACAGAAGTCTTGAATTGATAGAAGACTATGAGTCATCTGGTCAACGATCAGAAGTTGTAGAATATTTGGATGATTTTTTTCTGTCCCCACCCTAAAGCTCAATCTGAGCGGGTCGACTGGACAGTATGATTCGTCTTCTCCCCCACTAACACCTGAAAGTTTAAGTTTTGCAAGGCGACCCGAGTCGATACATTTTCATCTGGTTTTCTCCGTTATCAGCTCATAGAAGTTGTTCATGATATAAGATATTTCCATAACAATCACTTTGTGATTACCATCGTTGGCATTCACCCTACATGTTGATGCTAACGTGTGCAGTCTCGATGGTCCGAATATCCGAAAGGCGGGCGAGGAATGAGAGTGGGCGTTCCAGGACCTAGACGATTCGATACATGGAAATCTAGTTCCATTTATGTTTCATTCGGTCTTGTTCCTTTTTTCGTTATCTTCTATGTCTGTTTTATTATTTCTGTAATTTATTGAATATATTTCACCTTCTATAACATACTAGTAGGCTATCTATGGTTTCCGCCCTTCTCTTTTGATATTTTCTTTTCCTATCATTCCTGTCTTCTTTTTTCACACCCTTTTCCTGTCATGAACTCAATATATCATACTGACTTCAATGTTGTTTCTCATAAGATTTCACTAAAGAATGATGATGATGATGATGATGATGATGGGAGGAGCTTAGATTGATTATTGGTTGTTTAGGTAGGCGTGGTTTTCAAACACATCTGACTGTCCTTTTGGAACATGACTCAACTTATATGCCCCGGCTTAAATGAGGTAAACAATTAATTCTTAATTTGAATTCAAGTTTTAACGGAAAAAAGATAAATCATAATTGATAATAGAAATCGTTCTCTCGCTTCGCACGCATGACCTGTGACGAGGCGTGGAGCTAACGTCATTCTTTTCCTCTCAAAAAAATAAATAGATAGCAGTTCGACGATTCAACGCACTATGCTCAACGAAAGCTCTTTGCAGGTTTGGGAAGACATCAAGGATTTCCTATATGATGAGAATTTCCAATTAGGAGATGGTGTCACAGCACCTGTTGGCGCTTATTCACCTCTAGAGACTCCATCAGTTTCTGGGATGACATCATCCTTAATGAGTGTACCATCATCTTCAACGAACTGCCGTTCAGTACCTCTACCATCCTCAAGTCTTAGCCATCTAGCTGCCCCTCCAATTGCCCTCGGCTTACCTCCGCCAGCATTGCCACCTATTCCAGTACCTACCTATACACCTTGTGTTTATTCTTGCTCAGCAACGACTTCAATATATGATGTTAAAGTGAGATTTATTTTTATCCTTTTTTTTCGCAGAATTTGGAATCGCATCAATTTTCGTAATCTTCTCATTCCATTAGTTTCAACTTTCGCTTTCATTTCTCATTTTTTTTCCACAATTGGGTCTTCGTTCAAGCTATTTCTATCTCCTTGCTTATATGCTATTTCTAGGAGGAGTCGCCCCCCAGTAGTCCTGAAGTTAGCTTTTACTATGGCTCTACAACAATTAACTCGAATAGTGGATCTCCCTTAGCCCAATCATTGCCTGAATTACAACAACCACATCCGACACATCCACCCCAAAATCAGCATATTCAGCTTAGAAACAGGAAATGTAGCAGGTATGTACCATGATTTTGAGTTCTCACCCCGCTGGTCCCAATCGTAGTGTGCATGACGTTTTTCGAGCTTGCTGCTCAGTCATGATAATGAAGTGATGTCGAACTATATTACGTAGAGACAATCTGGAGCAATTCATTTAAGCATTTTTCTTTTTCGTCTCTTGTCCCACCGTCATTTTCTCTTTACTCTTATATCTTGTCGTCATTCTTATCTACTTCTTCTCTGTTTCTTTCTGATCGTATTTCCCATTTGATAGGACAGTAGATAGACAAGTGATTAAAGGGAATATAAGAAATTCAAAAGAGCAAATGACATGCGGAAAGAGAAAGTAAAGTCTGTATCAGAAGCATGGCATGGTATGAGATCGATCGGAATACCTCGAATGACTCCAGCATGACTCTTTTGTTTCTTTCGAACAGTTCGAAACTTATCAAAGTCCTGTTGTTCAGTTACCAATAGTACTACAAAGGAACTTTCTTCATTATCCTTCGAGAATGAGACATCCTTGTATGCACTTCGTTAGTGACAATCATTTGTGGGAATGAGAGAGAGAGAATCAGAGAGAGAAATGGAAAGAATTATTTACTCTCCGCTATCAGCGAGATTGTCAGGTTTTTCGATGTTATAAACTTAGTTACACTTTAGTATTCCTATCAATTAACTTTCTAATGAATTATATTTATTTTTGAGAGGTATAACGACTTCCACTTTCAAGTACAAATGGGAATCAGATTACTCATCGTTGCGATCAAAGATATTATGATGATGAGGAGTATGAGATGTTTCAAGTTCTTTCTCTATCTCAGCAGCAGCAGCTTGCTTACTTACTTTTGGATTTCTTTTGATTCGCGAATATAGTTGAACAGTTCTTGGTTCTTCCAACTGTTTGCTCATATGAAGTACTCGTTTGAGGTAATCTTCAACTTTCCTTTCTCTTAATTTTCTCAAAAAGAGCTTTCAAAAGATAAAATTAACAAATACCGTCTGCAAAATCTTTCTATTGAGTAGCCACTTCATTACCTTTGTAAGAAAATGCAAAGATATTCGAAAAATGTTTGGTCGAAAAATGTTTTGCGGCAACTATAAAGAAAACGTTTTTTGTAGACGATGATAGCGTTGCGGATAGATGACAAAATGAAAGACAACTAGTTCTCTTATCATCTGCTTATTTTTCACAAGTACTAGGAAACAACTCCACTTCCTTGCATTTACGTTGAAAAAACTGAATTGATTCACGAAAACTGTGAGAATCGCAGATTTTTCCGTTTAACCTAGTATTTTGGAAACTTCGGAACTTGTGCCGATTGTTAAACCTTTCCGTTCTAACATATGTTGGAACTATTTCTGACTATCAGCTCTTCTTCTTGCCTTAACAGCTTACTCTCTCTGTCCTTGAAAAGCGGCCATTTGTTTGTGGCTTGACTTATGGGGACTCTAACAACGCATGTTTCGGCACAGAAAGAAAGATTTACGTGTTCTCATGCTGTGTTTGTAGCCTGTTGCTAAGCTTGTTTCTCATATATGAGAGGTGAAACTTTTGTTTACGCTACTTTGAATTATCAATTATGTCAAACGTTGACGCCATTCAACTACTCATGATTTAAATGATATGACATTTCAATTGACGCTTTGTCTTAGAATAGAAGCTGATTTTTTCTTATTTTGTCATATTCAATCATTTGCATAGAACGGTGATAGCTTATGATCATCGTAAATTAGATGATCAACAGCAAGGTGTCATACGGGACAATCTACTTCTAGTGATCATGTATCGTCAATCACGACCGCACGTCTGCGTTGAAACCGGTGAATTGATCAAAAATCTCCTGTACGCACAAGGGGCAGGCAAGCTGGCAACAATTTAGATGAATTATCGGAAACTATTTTCTTATAAAAAACGTGATCGGAGAAATGAGAGCTGTTAGCATACTCGTACTTCAGGAAATACGAAGTAGTTATACATATACCTACGCTGTAAATGTTACTCAACAGAGTGTGTGTGAGTCAGTACTAGAGAATGCAACCTTTCTGTGAGTCTGACAGTTTAGTTTTTTTGATTTCATCACGAAGTTCAGATTTTGCGCTTTTTCTTATTCCTCTATGCTGACCACGGCATAGATAATACTTCCAAACCCAGCGGTACGCCAAGTAATTTCTCATAACATTTGCATATCCCATTAGATAAACGATTGTGCAAGGCGGACATTACGACCTCACATTCCAATCACAGATTTACAGTGCCACCCGCAGATTTGTCATTGGTTCATAATCCGTAGAATTGGGATTTATTCCAATTTCCTAAGGCAGGGTTTTAACCGTTCTTAACTTGGGGTTATTAATTTATCAGGTTCTCCTAATTTGGAATGCTAAAATTTTACACATGATTAGACGAAATCTTTAACCTCATACCTGCCTTCATAAACCCGTCTTTGACCCGAAAATGGAAAAATTGTGTTTGTTAGCATATATTGTGGATTATCTTTTCAGTACTGAATCATCGACGGAATCAGAAGGAGAGCGACCTCGAAAAAATAAGAAAGTGAAAGAGCCGACAAGTCGGAGATTAGCAGTGCACGCCTGTCCTTACAATGGATGTGGAAAAAAGTGAGGTTGCTGCTTACATTACTGAATAATCAATTCCTTTAAGGTATTCGAAGAGCTCACATTTAAAAGCCCATGTTCGAACACATAGCGGAGAGAAGCCATACTGTTGTCCATGGCAGGGTTGCGAATGGAAGTTTGCTCGAAGTGACGAATTGACGAGGTGAGTCGACTCGCTAGAGCATACGATCCAACAGTAACCTCGTTTTCTAGACACAAAAGGAAACATACCGGCGATAGACCTTTCCAATGCAGCTTATGTGATAGAGCATTCTCTAGATCTGATCATTTAAGCTTACACATGAAAAGACACAACGTTGCTTAAGAGTTGGCAATGACGCGAACTCTGTTGAAGTAACATGGAATATACATAAATATATATATACATACATTAATACAAACTTAACCTTCGTTAAACTTGTCTTGCTTTATTGTGATTTCTCAATACTACAGGTGACAAAGTCCCATGTAAATGTTACCCAACATTTCTTTTGAATAAAGTTTAAAAATACGGTTTGTGTGTGAAAAGTATGAAACATACAATATAAATATACCCAAAAACTACTGATTAGACGTATTAATTTGTACGTTTGTACTGGGATCCTTCTCTTCTTCTGGTTGGATCCTGGGGAAAACTGCGATGATTGGGTTTCCATTTGCAGAATTATTCGGCACGAATGTGGTTAAACATCCCTGTAATCAATAACTTCAAGATGATGAACACGTGATGGCAATGAAGCAATCGATAACCAGATAGATGAACTCTATAGTAGAAGAAGCTAAAGCCAACCTGTGTTTCTAAGGATAGAACCAAACTAACGCTCCTGGAGTCTGAGCACTGCGGTTGGTCTTTATTAGTATGCCTTGCATTATTATTGCTGAAACAAGAAGTCCATTCAATACATTCAAATACATGATGACGAACTTATTTTTTAACATCAACTGACGCGACTTCTGGACATCATCTAGAAACATAACTGAAAAAGAAAAATGAAATATGAATAATCATTGAAAACATAATTGCTTACATCGCACAACCACTCCTTCCCTGTTTATCGACTAAAATGAGCCGGCCCGAAAAATTTGAACTTCGCGCTACAATGAGAATTTCGTTGTGAGACTTCTCCAGAGCGCATCAACTGCTTGCGCCAAGCATAACAGGCGGATACGCAGACCGTTGAGCAATTTGAACATATATGATTTTATTAAAATTTTTTTCTTTTTTTGTAAATTTTTGGAATAAAGTTGCTTGAAATTTGTTTTCTCTTACTCACTAAAGGTATTGTAGGTGTCCTGTATTATGGACTATTGACTTGGTACAAAAAACAGTGAAATTTTGATACCCAGACAAGCTTCCTGCACTTGTTCACTTCTTCAAAAACAATGGTTGAGTACGGTTGCAATGTTGCCAATAAATTTGGCTTCATGTCCGATGACGATGGTAATTGATATACTTGAGTGTTTAGAACATACTTTGCTTTGTTTAGATGTAGAGGATCCACAAGAGTTGATCAGCAAGGTTTTCAAAGCCGAAGCTGACAAAGCTGCCGCCCAGAAGAAAGCTGAGCAGGTTGCTGCGAAGCAAGCCCCGTCAAAGGACGCTGTGAAATCCGTTGGTAAGTTTTTATGAAGTTTCTTGCATTACATTTTTTTTGTTCAGCCGCTGGTAAGGAAAATAACCGTCCTTCTACTGCCGAACGTGGTCGTGGAGGTCGCGGACGTGGGCGAGGAGGAGCTCCTAGAACACCAAGAGAAGGCACAGACATTTCTGATCGCTTCGGAGAAGGAGGACGCGGACGCGGTGGACCCCGTGGACGTGGAAACCGACCTGCGTTAGTTTTTTGTGTTTATATTTGATTTGATTTCTTTGTTTTTCTAGTCGTGGTGGTCGTGGTGGAAATGCCGGATCTTTCGATGCTCCTAAAGAGGTTTCCTTCGAGGAGAACCCAAGCCAGGAAGTCAGCGCCGAGGGTAATTTTTTTTTGTTGATAAAGTTTTTTATTGGTGAATCATAGGCGGCCGTGGACGACGTGGTGGTGGAGGACGCCGTTTCGGTGGAGATCGTGAAAACTTCTCTGGAGATTCTGTTGGTTAGTTGAAGCTTGGAATCGTTGTAATATGTGTAATATCCTTCAGGACGAGGAGGACGTGGTGGTCGTGGACGTGTTTTCGACCGTCATTCCGGATCCGATCGTACCGGAGTTCGTGGACAAGAGAAGAAGGAAGGACACGGAAAAGGAAACTGGGGAACCGAGAAGGTTTGCATCTTATACCTATTTATTTAATGGCTTTGTTGTAATAGGACGAGATTGTTGCTGAAGGCGAGAACGTAGAGAAGGAAGAGACCAGCGAGCCAGAGCAGCCTCGTGAGAAGACCGAAGAAGAGATCGCTTATGAAGCTGAACTCGAGCAATTCAACAAGTTGAAGACCCTCAAGGAATTCAAGGCTTCTCAACAAGTACGTTCTTACAGTAATTGAATTAGTGTAATTTTAATTTATTTTAGCGTCAAGTCCCAGCTTTCAAGACTCGTCGTGCTGGTGAAGGTACTGAAGAGAACTTCGGCAAGCTCGTTCCCATCAAGAAGGAACACATCGAAGATAAGGAAGACGAGATCGTTATTGTCCGCAAGGAAAGTAACAAGAAGTTCCTCGATATCAACTTCCAAATCGCTGAATCTGGACATCGTGGCGGTAACCGTGGTGCTCCTCGTGGTCGCAACAACGGACCTCGTGGTGGACGCGGACGTGGTGGTCACGGACGTCAGTCTGCTCCTTTCGACGCTTCTCTTGAAGCTTTCCCTGCACTTGGTGCAAAGTAAGGAACCATCATCTGTTCTTCTTGGCATTAATGTCAATATTGCCAATGTCTGCTTCCTCTCTGGTTTAGCCACCTGCTTTTTTTAGTTTTTAGCCTCATGATGAATAGTTATTTGTTGTTAGCCAATCGATCTCAAGAAAGATGACCAGAAGTACCCTGGATATCTTTTTCGGTGGCTTTGCTTGTTTGTTTTCTTTCTGATCTTGCTATTAATCTCTTTAGCCTGATGTTAGTTTGTAGCTATACCTGATATTGAGGGTGCGGACTAAATGTTGTTTTGTTTTTTATTTTGTTGAGAAGAACTTGAGGATAAGCGTGACTCATTTTATTCTTACTTTTGAGCGTCACTGTATTTACAGATTTTTGTCGCTTTAATAAAGTTTTGTTGTTACTCCATATTCTCTTCTCATCAATGGAACCTCTTTTTTCGAAACTGATTCCATCGGTATTCGGTTTCCTATTTGTTTTGATTCGACGGGTGCGAAATTGCTGTCAAAGTCGTCATTCCAACCATATTTGACCTGAGCACCTCCGGAACTAAATTGAGTTAAATGACCGCTGATTCTCCTTTTTTTCTGATGTTATTCACTATCATTTTACTGTTATTGACTCCCAATGCTACTGGTTTCATAGTTGGAGGTTGTATTGGACCTAAATCTGTTTTAGAAAAGTATCTGACGAACGAAGACCGTCGTGAGTTGAGACGTCTTGTTCATACAGAGTTCGATGGCTCAAATGTCGATCAGGTAATTTCGTAATCTCCAATCAATGCTCATGTTTCTCTTCAGATTCTACAGAAAGTCAACTCGTTCGTATACCAAAAGATCACCTTGGAACAATGGCGTTCAATCCTTCCGTACATAAAGGTTCTCTAACAAAACCCTTGTTGCTTACATATCAAAAGCCATTCAGCAATATCAAGAGAAGAAGTATGAGTGCTCTGTGTATGCTCAGCTACTCCCAACAGACATCTATAAGACGCTGATGGTCTGCCAGCTTGTAGTTCTGACGCTTTTCTTTTTGTTTTCAGACATCAGTTTGGCGGGCAACTGAGACTGGCGCTTCTAAGTATGAAGTTAAACGATTAGTAGAAGATTATTTGGAAAGACTTATCAAAGCTGGGAAATTAGAAATAAAAGCCAGCGCTGTTTCGACCAAATCTCCAATCAAACCCGCAACCCATATGTCTGTGTTTGTTTAATTAGGTTAGTAATCGAATTGTCCAATTCAGAGAACGATCTTTGCCAATCCCAAGAGCCAAAGAGATCCCTGAGTACTCAAAATATCAGAATAACTTAGCCTATCTGCGGTTAGAAGTGCAATTCTCTCTCTCCCCCTCTATCAAATTATACTTTTCTAGTGGCCCTCCATTTGCTCTCCCACGTGTTCCTCCGAAACAGAATGTACCAATGTTTCCTTTAGTTGATCCGTGAGTTTAGTTTGCTTATAATAGAAGAAGATTAAAGAATTGCGAATGCGAGTAGAAGAAATTTAATTTCAACTGTTTGCTTTTCCTGAATATGCGATTTTACAGATTTCCTTGCGGCCAGAGACTTCAGTATTACTCTGAACATGAATGATCTTAGGCCACCTTCATGAGGCTTTATTCACAGATCCTAAATCCATCTCTTGATTTCAAATCTTTAATATGCCAGGATCGTTTAATATAATCTGCCATGCTTTTCCATCTGATGTAAAACATAACTTCATAGTCTCTCTTTTTTCTCTGCAAAATATTCTCCTACGTCTTGACGTAGGCGTGTTGAGTTACCAAATTCTTTCATTCATTTTGATCAATGTTGTAAATTTGTGCGCGTTCTGAAGTTTTCGCTTTATATTTCACTTCATCATGTAAGATGAGCATACTAATCAGGGTTTTCGAATCTTTCACCCCCCCCCCTTCGTACCTAAAAGCGTCAAGTTGAAACAGGCAACTAACCTCCTCATTGCATCTAATTCATTCTGTGATTTTTCCGTCCTTAGCATATCTATTTTGATGAGAAAATGTATTGAAACGTGACCCCTCGCTGACTACATCTTGTTTGGCATTGCCTCCAATTTTCTGGAGAACAATGAAATCTAGCCGATCTAGCTGATTCTTGCACCAAAACAATGTTTTCTCTTTTATCATCTGTAATGTGTCCGCAGTTCAATCGTGAAAAGAGGTGTCAAATTCTCATTTGTTGTGTTTCTTTCGCCTAAAAACTTCTGTTGTATTTTTAAAAGATCATAAAGCATTCTCTCACCTTTCCTTTCTTGTTCTCCGCCGGATAATCTTGTATTTCCATTGGGCGAGCTTTTTCTTTTAATAGCACCTCAGCAGACAGCACTTTTCAAATTGGTTCTGAAACAAATAATCGAAAAGTGTTCCAAAAGTGAGCACAACCGTTTTTACGCGCGAAATGGGTTGAAATGGAATTATGCTAATGGTCCACGGGTACGTGCGTGATACGTGGAACAAACAAGTGTGTACATTATGAAGCGCAAATTCATAAGAGGCATACAAACAGTTGCAAGCTCTCATCATCTCCCCTAGGGAGTTTTTTTTTTTACAATTTTATTATGAAAAGCAACAAGGGATATTCAAACAAAGCACTCCAAAATAAAATCTGGATTAGAGCATCTATTGCCTATAAAGATGAATCGATTGCGTACCGCTATTTTACTGTTTGTTTACGTTAAATGAACTCTAACCCTTAGCACTTTACCTTTCATCCACATTTCGTATTTCAGAATGAATCCAACTGTCAACTTCATCTTCGACGAATATTCTCAATACATCATGCTTCTGAGCGGTATATTTTCTGTTGCCGTTAATAGCTTTGCAGTTCATGTCATATTAACCAAATCTACTCGACACATGACACCTTACAAATGGCTTCTTCTTCATGTCACGGTGAGTTTACATGAATTCTCTTCAAGTGTTCAAATGGTTCAAAATGTTACTGATCGCCTTGAAAACTAATGAATTTTCGATTGAAAATCAAGAGAAGAAGAACAAACACATAAAGCAATTAAAAAAATGTTTCAGTTAGCATCAGCATTTACGGATATTTTCATCTCTGTTTTATTAGCCCCTGTCCCAATATCAAATGCTGTTGGAACGAAGATGTATGGTATACTGGGTCGACTTTTTCCAGACCAAGGAAGACTTTTCTGTGTACGTAGGCAACACAGACATTCTGTGTATCACGGGTGTGAGATTATATGAATTGTTTTCAGATTCTACTCATCATCAGCATTGGCTATATGATATGGTCCAACTTACTGTGTTTCGTCTACAGGTTGTATTTGTTGACCACGATACAATATATCTGGATGCATAAGTTGTAGCTTTCTTCAACCCTTTTACAACTGTCTATATAGGTATCTGGTCGTCCTCTTGTTCCTCTCTATTCAAAGTGTAATCGGGTCTGTAATGATTTACTGGCCAGCATTGGCTTCTGAAGAGCACGTTCGTGAGTATGCTGATGTTGTGAGTCGTCTTCGAACTGATTAACAAACAATACCGTTCCAGCATCTCAATATCACTGCCCCTGATGTAGCGTTGTGGCTCATTTTACCGGAAAACTACGATGCTAACACTCGATGGGCTACCTATTGTATTACATACATTCTGAGCACCTATATTGTGTTTGGAATAATAACACTGATATCGTACAGGTACTTATCATAACAGAGCGTCCTCGCCTGGTCCGTTTCCGTTCATTGTTCTGCAGTGATCACTGAACACACAAAGAACGGTTGCATTCAAAGTCAAAGTCAATTGAGTAGCGGCTGGTGTTTCGAAATTGATATCGTAAAGTTCGATATATCTTTGATTTCTATTCTTGTACACGAAAATCAAAAGCGATTATCTCTCTGGTTTGAAAATTTCTTTTTTTTTTTAGAATTCTCCACCGAATGGGCGGGATGTCGAAACGAATTGTAGCCTATCACACAATGCTACTGAGATCTTTAATTATGCAGGTTTTGAGAGAAGAGTTACATCTCACAGAATACATTTATTTTGAGACTGCAATTCCCTTCTTAACATTTGTGTTTCCATTCTTCATTATTGGATTAGCTCAGAAGTTGAAACAAAATCCTGGTAAGCTATGAAGCCATGGAAACTCAACGTACGAGATTAACCATTTAGAAACAATCAGATATGCCCGAATGATGTCTGTGCCAGGAATGATAATGTTATCGCATTATTCCGTCTCGCATGTTGCAGTTATGCTTATATATACGACACCTTATAATGCGTACTGCCGTCGGTTGATTCTTCGTAATTTCTGTTGCCGGAAAGACGAACAGATTGATACATATGCTGAGGCAAAGGAAAACTTAACGGGGAAGCAGAAGGAGAATTCCATATCACCAGCTTTGTAACTCCCCTTGCTCTGATCTATGTTTCTTCAAGATAGCTAGTCGTGCTCTTTCTCAACAATAATTAATACGAGATGATAGAAATTTAATCACTGAGCAATTTGGCGAGAAAATTGGACCCGCTTTCAAAAATTTGAATGTACAAATACCAGACGAATATAAGTAAGTATCAACTGTTGAAGAGAAGTTCTTGAGATATGTGGTCGAATGAGACGATTTTGAATAGCCGCATAACCTGAAGTGAGTGGGTGAGTGAGTGCAAAGATGGGGGAAAATTGTGAGCTTGAAATTATGTCGAACCTGATAACTTTCTAGCATAGCTGAAGCCGCTGATATGATTCCTGATATCATGAGAATCACATTGCCGAATCTTTCTATAAGATTAAGAGTTAGCGTCGAATTTAGAATGTCGTAAACCTGCATAATCAATGATCCCTAATTGTTTGTAATGAGCAAAGAGAGAGTGAATCACTTTATCTCTAAACATAAGAACTATTTTTCGCGTGCTTTCAGATATGTCCGAATACTCTGAAGGAAGGGGTGCGTGAAGATGATGAACTATGGGATTGTACGTACCCGAATGACGACCATAATTGAATAACATTATTATTTTCAGCGCTACCAACTCTTGAGTAGACAACATCAATTTTCTGAATGGACTGGCAACCTGAAGTAAGTGTTGATGACTAATTAGAAAAAAAGCTGCTTTCGTACTCCGTCTATGCAACTGTCAGTCATTTGTTTGTACAATTTCTCTTGTCTCCACTTACGATCAGCTGATATGGAAATCTTGAACACTGACAAATAGGGTCACAACAAATAATCTTTTTACTTTGCTTTCTTCAGGTAGAACGTCGAAGTTGCGAGGCATACAAGTTCCATCCGAAATAAGCCAAACGTCGTCAACATTCGCATTCGCAGTATAGTATCCGTGTTCTAACACCAGATGATAGACGGCGTACCTCTGCATATCAAGGAAATGGAATAGGTTCCTGCTCAATATAATCTAACCTTTATGATAGTTATTCGATCTTCTGCAGAGATTGTGCTGTAGCAGGGCAAGGATTTGATCCACTCAAACATTGATAAGAACTCTGTCTGTGTTACATTAGATATGTCACTAGCGAGAACGATCATCAAACGAGATTGTTTATCAATCTGCAATTCCATAAACAACTTCAGTGAGAAACGAAATTCGAAACTAACATCACAGTTCTTCTTACTGAGGGATAGATTCAGAGCGCTCTTTTTGGCTTTCACTATTTCGTATTTTTTTGTTCTACAATCAAGATTCTGGAGGTAAGTACATTTCTCTCTTCTTTACCTTATATGTTCATCCATTAATGTCAACCTAGAAATTATAGTCAGAAGTTCATCCGACTCAGTTGTAGGAACCATGGTGCCTAAGGTGGAAGTCAGTCTATAGTTTATGCGACGACAGCCAATCAAATCTCGTCGAGGTTGCAGGGCTACAGAAGTCAATGAAGCAAGAGGGTGTTAAGATAACTATACCTTCTTTGGTCATACCAACTTCCATACATCTTTTATATCTACATCCTCTACATGATCTTCGTGAGCGTTTGTAAACTTCACAAGAAGGTTCGCGACGACAAGCTGTCGTCTGCTTTTGGACAACGGCCCTGGAAGACAGCAAGATGAACAAGAGCAAATTGAAAGAGGAAAAGCTTGTAATTCAGAACTTAGTGACAGAATTATAAGCACAGATGAAACTCAAATAAAAACCTTCTGAAAAATGTTTTACATCCCAAACAAGAAACAACACCATAGTGTTTTCCAGCTGACGGCTCTCCACATATTAAACAAGTTTTTGTCTCATCTGAACGAAAGGTTGAGAAGTGAGCATAGGTGGAGTGAGACTGATTGTTAGTTATTAAGAAATTAAGAGAAAATATAACGAAAGGGTAGAAAAGCAAGAAAGGGAGAAAATTCGGAAGAGTTTGTCTGAACGTACTTTTGATTTCCTGACTTGTATATGGAATTGAGCCATCTAGACTCACGGACATGAACTGCAAACATATGATGAAAACACTTATAAAGCAATTGATTGTAAAAGCTCAAGTTGAGAAAACAAGAGAGATCTCTGATGCGCGGTAGAGATCTCTGTGATGAGACGAGAGAATGAGAGTAGCATTATCAGTTTCAAATTTTTACAAAAAACGAATTTTGAGAAGAAAAAAAATGAAAGTTGAAACTGTGAACAAGAGAGAATGAGAGAGAGAATCGTATTGAAATGATCGAAGAAACAGAAAAAAATAGAGAGTAAATGAACAAAAAATAAACTGAGTACGAAAAACAGTAAGTTTGGGAAGGAGAGAGACAGCAAAAACATGAAAATGAATGTTCTTTGAACAGCATTATGAAGAGAGAAGGGACGGCAGAGAGCGGAATAACGAAGTTCTGGCTAGGACTGCTGTGTCACTCTGCGTGTCTAACGTTTCACGCACACACTTTACGTGTTGTTTCCGTCTGACTCTGACTTTTCGCTGTCTCACGTGTGTTTTCTAGACATAGTGCAATGTGTGGACGAATTCAGTTGGAAAAATTTTAATGAGAAACCTGAGCTTCATTTCCCGTTTACTACTTCTAGTCTTTATTGATCATGTCCATTGTGTGAAGAGCCACGAGAGTGTTAAAAAGATAATTTTCGTCTTTGATCTTCTACGCTTCAATATGATTATGCGAATTCATCGAACTTTCATTCTTCTGTTTCTCTCTTTCTCTCTCTTTCTCTCTTTGTATCTTCTTCTTCTCCTCTTTTTCTCCCTTCTCTCCAGCTTACTTCATCTTTTACACTTTTCTATGATATTTTGCATTTCTATACGAAAGGTGTATGGATAGGAAAGTCGAAATGGTTCCATCTTAGAATATGGAAAAGTCCAATGATTACCAGGCGAGAACTAATATGGAAAAAAGCGTAAAGAAATCGAAATCAGCATAAAGGCAATTACAATCGAAAACGAAAAACGATGGGCTGATAAAGGATCTGATGATGATTATGACATGTTCAGATGGTGAACGCATTGAAGCGGCTTCTTTGTAACATTCGAAGAAAATCAAATCAATAGACGGAACTACTAGATGACGGTTTGACTTACTTTCTCCTTCTCTCATTATAGGTTAGCAGGGTTAGTTGTTAGGTTCCCGTCATGGTGGTCGAGACAGTAATTATAGTTACATATGATCTATATAGCCTCAAGAATTAAAAGAGTCGATACGGATAACAAAAGAGGAAGGAGAAAGTTCGATATGAATGGACTTCAACCATCCTGTGGAACTTCAACCATTTTCATTTTCTTATTTCATTTCTGTATGTGTCAATATGAAAAATGAATTTGTTTCATATATACTTCTATGACAACCGTAATACTGTTCTGCTACAAATGAATGCAACCGCTCACTCCATTGTCTCAACATGCAAATGATAGTTCACGTTCACACATTAACTAGGCTTCCACGTACAATATATGCAAATGAAGTGTATTATGAATGATTTCGCAATATTATAATTCAATTTTCTTTTTCAATTTCCAAGATTTGAAAGAGAAAACAGAAAAAAGCTTTACTGCACCCAAAGTACAACTATATATTGAGACGAAAGAGTTTTGTAATACAAAAAAGTTAAAAAAGAGTGTCAGAAGGTCAATGAGATGGCATTGAGTTCAAAGAACGTTCACCTTGTTTATGGCAATCATCACTACTTCTCCTACACACACACACACACACTCACATCATTGATATTATTGATTTTTGATAATGTCAGAGATGTTTATTAGAATATATGGCATACATACTAATTAACAATAATTAAAAATGTTTTTTTTGTTGTAATCACCATATATGGAAGATTGAGAATTGTCAATCGTGTTTCTCTCACATTCTCCTATCAGTCAATTGCTGCCCTAAAGTGTCCTTAAGACTCAACCAAAAGTTTGGCTAAAATCGATTGATATTCCCTTCCCATTCTCTCTCTCTCTCTCAAGATAGTTTTCAATTCTCTCTTAACCTTTTTTAATTTTTCATTTCATTCATTCATCTGTAGCGATTGCATCATCTCAAATCCAAGAGTTGGTTAGAGTCAGAGGCATGTTCATCGGTTTATCTTATCTTCCGTTACTTTTCTACGTTATAATACCAAAAACAAATTATCGATTGGTTAATGAATACAGCACTGTCTGTAAGGTAAGGAGGATGTGTGAGTCTCCATCGACCATTCCTCCATTTCACTTATCTCTTTTTCATTTTTTTTTCTTTTTTTTTCCAATCATTTTCGACTTTATGGACATTTCGTCGAAAAAATGTGGAAAAGGATGGAACAATTGCAGAGTTATCATATCGTTTAGTTCTTATCTCCTGTTTATATAAGCTAAACTCTGTTATACACTGTTCACTTTACTTCAAATCATCTCTTCTATAGCCAACTCCTTTACAGAATCGTGAATGATCAAAGCATTCTTATGGATCTCATTGGCGTTTGCCATTCAAGTAGTTCAACCGGCTAAAGTACTTGTCTTACCAAGTACGATTTATCCAGTTCATCCGTATACGATGAAGCATTTGGTTGATGAATTGGCAAAAGTTGGACATGAAGTAACTTGGGTCGAACATGGACCTGTCCAGGTAAGTCTGGGGTTGTCATTAGATGTGTGAGTGTCAGACGGTCCTTTGTACTATCTTGACTTCATTTATGATAAACCTTGCAAGTGGTGATATGAAAATTGTTTTTTCTGTTTCAGAGCAACGTCAGCTTGGCAAAGAATGTCAGAAGTATATTCTGGAAAGTTGATTACGACAATCATCATTTGCATGAGATTCTCGTGGAGAAGGACCATCTCGTCAACAAAATGGTTTTCAGATTATTGTTCTTGAAACTCATTTATCTATTGTAGTTGTGGGAAGCCGATTTCCATGCTCGAACCGAACAAACAACCGGCTGGATCGCCGGAATTCGGTTGTGTGATAATCTTCTGAAGAAACACAAAGACGATTTTCAAAGAATAGCCGATGAGAAGTGCGGAAAACTTTTTTTGTAAACAAAAATGTTTTTTGTTTTGCAGGTTCGATGTTGTTATTGTGGACGATTTATATAATCCTTGTGGGATCTTACAAGCAGCACTGAAAGGTATCTCTCTTCCCGTTAATTGAAAGTTTGATTGACCTTTTAAGGAGCTGTCTACATCTACTGGAGTATGACATCGATGAGAGCTGAATCAGCATGGGCAAATCAAAGTCCAAATCCTCCGAGTTATCTTCCCGTACACGGAACAATGTAAATAATATTTTCTATATATATATATATATGTTTTAAATGATTCGAAATATTCAGGCTGACGGAAGATATGACGTTCACTGACAGAGTCTACAACTTGGCATACTACTTACGAGCTTTATATATTCATCAACACATCATCCATCCTCGAATTGATGCTGTATTCCAAGTAATATTGGAATTGCTTTCTATTTATATGCAACTTCTTCTTCTTGCAGAAACATTACCCTGGAATTGATAGTGCCTTTGATATTGAGAGAAATGCTTCGATTAACTTCGTTAATACTCCTCCTATTTTCGATTTTGCCAGACCTTATATGCCACGAGTCAATTTCGTTGGAGGATTACATTGTCATAAACCTAAGCCATTGACTGGAGTACGTTTTATCTCTGCTTCTACTACTACTACTACTTGCACCATTAATGCTGTTGCTTCTGCTCATGCTTCTGCAGAACACATAGGAAACAGAGTCAAATTAAACACAACCGCTCTTGTCTGCTCAACAGCTTGAAAATGAACCAAAAATTATGCAAATTCAATGAATGACGTGAACATCATTGTCTCTTTCTCTCTCACTCTCTTACTCTCTCTCTCTGTTCTTCTTCTTCTCATTGTTCATTTGCAGGAATTAGCGAAATTCGTCGAAAGTGCCAATGATAATGAAGGATTTATTGTTATTTCGGTTGGATTCACTGGGAATTGGGATCAAGCTCCAGCCAATGTGAAGGTAATTAAATTAAATTATTCCAATTAAAATTTTAAAATTTCAGTCCATTTTCACGGAAGCTATGCGTAATCATCCAAAAACCAAATTCGTCTGGCAGTTCAATGCTTCTCCGGAATCCATTCTTCAACCTTCGAATGTGTTTATTGCTCCCTGGTTACCTCTGCAAGATCTATTGGGTAGACACAGAAGGAGAGAGATGAAAGATAACTTTTGCATTTAAGGACATCCCAAATGCAAAGCTCATATCACTCATGGAGGTTTGAATAGTGTAATTGAGTCTGTTTATCATGGAGTTCCTGTGCTTGGTATTCCATTGACCGTCGCAGGTGAGAGAATCGACTGCAATTGCATATCCTTCTTGACATTGTCAAAAATAATATTTATAGGACATGATAATGTATTGAGAATAACACATCGTGACGCTGGTATCCTTCTCACCAAATATCAACTGGATGAATATTCTTTAACGAAATCAATTGGCAGCATTCAAAAGCAGAAGTAATTGAAAGCCGTTTGACTGATGATTTACCTCTCTCTCTTTCTTTCTTAGATACAAAGATGAGATGCTCGTCTTTCAAGATATGGTTCGTGATGTGCCTTACACAGAGTTACACAATGCTGCTTTCTGGGTCGGCTTCATCGAACGCCATCAAGAGGTTTTGAAGAAACACAAAAAGAGATTTGTTCATCAATTACAACTATCTTGCAGGTTCCACATGCTCGAAGTGGCGCAGACCAACTGAACATCATTCAATATTTCATGATTGACATAATAGCTTTCCTCATCTCCATTGCTGTTGTTGTGACGTCCCTGTTACTTTTCATTTTACGAACAGCTTACCGAATTCTTGTGTGGTTTGTTCGACGTCTAACTTCATCCTCCTCCTCCACCTCCTCCTCATCTTCAACAACCAAAACAACGAAAAAGACAAATTACAAAAGTGCCAAGCACAAGAAAACTGATTAGAACTCTGTTCACAACCTATAGCATCTATTGAAAGAAAGTTTTTTGGTCTAGTCCGTGCATTCATTTGTATGTCATCTACTCACCGTCAATGTGCTCTTGTCTCTACTACTACTACAACTCCTTCTTCGGCTGCTGCTGATACTGCTTCTACTGTTGTCGCAGCAGCAGCTACTTCTCTTCGGAACTATCTCAATCCTCTACAAGTATTGAATGTTATAAAATGTTTTATCTTTTACATCATCTAATTCACTTTTTTCTTGTCTTATCGTTCAATAATTAGATAATCTGAATATCTAATGTCATCAGCTGATAGAATAAGTTTTCCTTTTTCTAGATGATTTCACCAAATGAACACTCCGCCTCTGGCCCTTACCTCGAGAACCTAAGGAGAAACGGTGTTAGAAGGGCGATAACAGAGTGCACATCACAGAGTGACAACAAAGAGAGAAACATTGAGAGAGAGAGAGAGAGAGAATGGCCAACATAGCCTCCCTCCAAAAAAAGAGATCTCAAGAGATAATAAGAGTCGAAAAGATATATGCAAATCGGGTGTCGTCATCTCTAACTCAGCCATTTCTAATCAAGAACATTCCGGCACAGATGAACAGGTATGATAGAGTCAGTTATCCATATGACAGTCCATTATTCTTCTTTTCACAACATTTTTCATTTTTATTATTATCCCATTTGACTATTTTAAATTATATGTACGAACTTTGATATAGTACAACTAGAATTAATCAAGTTCGTCTAGCTACACACCCATACACACACACACACACACCCCATAGCTACATAATTTGTGTTCGTTGGCTTTGTTCGGCTAGTAAAGTATAAACTGAACAACTATTCTGAGTCTGTCATGTATGCATGAAGAAGATGCCAATGCATCCAAAGGAAGCTATCAACGATTAGAGCAGAAAGGAATGAAAGAAACGATAAAAGTGCGAAATGTCAAAGAAGACGAATTTGAGGAGCTAGATGAGAGCTGTTGCGAACCCACAAAATACAACCGTTCAACACATCCGCTTAGCTAACAATGACACAATGAATGCTAGCTCTACTGAGATTCACGTGAAACGGTACGTAAGTGGTTTAGACCTTTAGTAGTCTACAATTGTACTTTCATCTTTGAGTTTTTCGCTTTTTTTGTGTTTTTCTCCATTGGCTCTCTCTTTCTCCTCTCTCTCTCTCTCTTCTTCTCTTTATATGGTTGTTTTGTGTCCTCTTTAGCCTTTCTATCCTATCTTTTCTTGTATTTTCGAATGAACTCTCTTTCTCCGTATGTTTTACTCTTACATGTAATCACTTTCTTATTTCTAAATATTCCATTCAAACATTTCATAATTTATTAGAAAAGCACCAATGTTTGAAATACTTTTCGAGTATGCATGACAATCGCTCAAAACAATAGCTCAATGAATTAAAATTTATTGAATATTTTCTTTTTTGATAAGTTTGAAATGGAATAGACGACGTTGATGCAGACAACCGCTATAAGGTGTCTGCATGTAGCTTTTCCTTCGTAATACGACTAATTCCTATAAATCGTGGATCTTTCACAATGATCAAAGAAGAAGGAAGAGAGAGAGGTAGAGAGAGAAAGGAGGAAGAAGTAAGAGAGAGAGGGAGAATGTGATGTTCTGGAATGAGTGGAAACATTATGGCAACACGAGGCGCAGAAAAGGAATGCTAAGAGGAAGGCTAGAACGAGCGGAAGAGAAAAAACAGATAAAAAGTGAATAAAGGAGAATGATGAAGGTTTGGTAGAAGCTCATTCAAGTTGTTGGGACCTCTATTTTTCTACTTTCTGCAGCTGCAAGACCGCATGTTTTGCAAGCCTAATCTGAGTTGGGGACGGCCTTTTGGCAGTCCCAATGCTTTAGCTTGAACACCCCCTGGTACACAAAATTATGTTATGTTATTTCTCATTTTCATTCTTTGCATCGTCACATTCAGCTTTCACTTTATTTCCTTCTCATAACTATTTCCATTTGCTTACACATGCAAACGAACATAGAGAGAGAGTAATGGAGAGAGAGAGGGAGAAGTAGTAAGAGGTGTATAACGAAAAGTTTTTTTCTTCTTTCGATTATGCTTAACATGGAAAATCACTTGATGATGCTGCTTCTTCTTCTTCTTCTTGCCACTCTTTCTAATCCCATTTAACCGGAACATTTGGAAACTGTGTCAACTACGGAAACATAACGGCTTGTCAAGGAAATTGAGTCTTCTGTCATCAAAATTATTTTGGATCCAATGACGCCTACAATCCTCCACAACCTTTTTTGTTTCCTAAATAGGCAAAACGACGAAATACACAAAAAGGATTTTGTCCCATTGAGGTGCACGTATTTGGATGTGTCGTGTGTTTGTGTGTCATTTTGCTTTTTCCAACAAAAATTAAAATAAATGAGATTAATTGTGATTTTGATTATAATTTTGTAGGCTGGAGGGAGGGGGATGAGACGAGACGAGAGTTGGAAGAACGATGATGAGTACTCCAAAGCAAAAAAGAGAGAGAGAGGGGGAATTGGAAGTAAAGAGGGTTTGAAAGTTCGGATGACCTTTTCATGTTACAAGTGAATATCCTTACATGAGCGTCAAAGTACGCCTTCATCTACATGTTTTTGAGAGAGAGAGGGAGAGAGGGGAAAGACTAAGAGAAAGGGAGCCCACATCATCTGCCTATCTTCTTCGTCATGTTTCCTTTCTTTTTCTTTTCTTTTTTTTCTCTTTTTTTGATGTTTTGTTCTCATACATTATGATAGTAGCTGCGTACGTTGTATCTCTCGTAGTTTGGAACATGTTTTCAGTTCCAAATTGATACTTCTCTTAACTGTTATCTGTTTTCCTCATCTAATCTGCAGAATGGATAACGATTTATTTGTATTTATACCCACAAGAAAGAGAAATTCCCTCCTTTACTTCCTTACTCTCTCTCTCTCTCTCTTTCTCTCTTAATAATCTTCCTTTTTTGGTCAGAAATGCTAGTGGCTCTCCTTTGTTATCACTGTCTTCCAGCTTTTGCATGGCAGCCTAGCTGAGGTGGGGGCATCAAAGAACCAAGCTATAGCTTATGTTTCTTTTTTTGTAAACAGATTATTCTATGAATATAAGTTTGAGCAGGTTAAGATGTAGAAAGGTGATGTGTGTGATGATGTCAGAGAGAGAGACAGAGAGAGAAAGTCATTTGGAAGCAAAAGAAATGATGGTGAAGCTATGTAGAGGTTTCAGAGGGGATTCAAAGAGTCATATAAGGATGTGAGGATATATAGTGAGACAGAAAGCAATGGAGAAGATAATGTTAATGCTAATTAGAGGATTGGAACTTGAATTCTTGTTCTAACCACAGACATCACATGTTAATAAGTGGAGATGGAGCATCTGAGTGTCTTATCCGTGCCATTGACTCTTTTCGTCTATTTTCTAAACAACTTCCTGTTTTCTGTTTTGAGTTCTCACAAGTTGTAAGTCAAGAGGGATGTACTTTGAAGCTTACAAGAACTACCAAACCTTTCTTCTCAGAGTATAAAGAGAGAAAAGTCATTTATAACCGTTTTTACCACAATTTCAATGTTCCCCTTCCCCTGTTGTTGCTCGCGCTCGTTGTCTATGGCTCACTCCACTCCCGCCTTTCTCTTTCTCTCTCTCTCACACTTTCGTAGTTTGTGTTTTCTTTTTTTTTGTTTCATTTTTGAAATATTTATCGAAATCATCATTTACTTTGTTCATTAGGCTATTGTTGGTCTTTCTTTTTCCATTTCATTTCGACTTGAGCAGCTGTTCACTCATAAGCTTTAAATGGTGTTCCCCTCCTCTCTCTCATACTTTGATTTCATATTACTTTCTCTCCCTCTCTAACCATCTACCTCTCCCTCTTGCTCTCTCTGTTCATTCCTCCTTCTCTCGAGATATTCTTTTTGATCAAATATTTCTAATTGAATATCTCTTTTTTTCACAAAAAAAAAGAAATCTTTTTTGCTTTCATGAAAAACATTTTCTTCTTCCACTCTGTTTTTCCTTACATTCCTCCATCTTTCTTTTCGTTCTGAATAATTAGCATATTGCTGCCACGTACGTGAACATTCACACGACCTCTCTCTATTTCATTTGCATCACTTTCAACTCTTTCGGATCGGTTGTGCTCTTTCAATCTCTCCTCTCTTTCATTTACTATCTCTCTCTCTCTCTGTGCTCTTATTTTGTTTCCTTCACTCTTCTCTTCTTCCTCTTCTTCTTTCCATCTTCTTCTACCACTCACACTTCTAGTCTTCTTCCCTTTTACCCACTCTCTCTCCCTCTGTTTATCCCTCTCTCTCTCTCAACGAATCTCCCTGTTTTTTTTCTTTTTTTTTATCGATATTTTATATTTCTGCTTTTTCCTATTTTCGTTCTCTCTCTCTCTTTCTCTCTCTCTGTCTCTCTCCTGTTTTTGCCACTATTTCTACTTCACCTTCTCCTTTTTGGCTTCAACTAACATTCTGTGTTGAGGCTTGCGATTTCACGTCGTTGATGTCGCCATCGTCGTCGTCGACGACGACGACGAACGGCATCAGCAGCAGTAGCAGCACGATGTGGCGATATTTCTGATTGTTGTTGTTATCCTTGTCTACTGATTCTGCTGTGTAGCAGAGCAATGCTGTTGGTTGTCTTCCATTCTCTTTATATATTTCTTGTGTCCTTTCTCAAACATACTTCTTCCGTCCGTCACAGAATATAGCTTATAAGAGAGCGAGAGAGAGGGACTGAGATAGAGATAGAGAGAGATAGATAGAAGATGATTACATATGATTTATAATAGCATAGTTAGCATAGTATACATATAGATGTTAGCATCAAAATAGAAGTTTGTTTTTTATTTCTTTTCACAGTCGAAATGAAATAATTAATGATGGTTGTTATTGATAACTCATCTTACGATATTTCCTTTCACATGCAAGGTAATACATCTGAAGGCCTCCCATAGCTTAAGTAGTCAGAGACAAGCTTCTTCATGTCTTCTTCACAACTTCCTTCAGATTCTCTTATTATCTGTTTCCACAAACTCTTTCCTTCCCTCTCTCTTTCCCTCTCTCTGTGCTTGAATCATTCGTACCTCTCTGTCTTCCTCTCTTTACATGTTCATCTCTTTCCACCCTCGTTGTTGTTGTCGTAAGCATTTGGAAGTAAAAAAAAACAAATCCATACATGCATATCAATATTATTTATTTACGATATGCTTATATATATATCTGTCTAACTATATCATATAGTAAAGATAGAAAGCTGGCTGCATTGACTAAAGTTTTAAAACAAAAAAAGATTTTTTCTCTCACAAGAAGGTTGTCTCATTGGCGGGTAAAAGTGAAAGAAACAAATTATATTTTTACATTATTAATCAATAACACTTAACTATAATTAATAATTAAAATAATATTTTGAATGAATGTGAATGGAAAGTTGTAGTTTGAGATTGACAGAGAGAGAGAGAGAGAGAGAGAGAGGGAGAGAGAGACAGCTCCCATCTCCTTCCAACTCTCAGATGTTTGTTAATCAATAACTTGTTATAATTGAAGGAGCATCTTCTTCTATCACATATCCTCTCTCTCCCTCTCTCCCTCTCTCTTACTCTCCACCAACTTTCCCTCTTCTATACTCCCTCCCTCTCTCTCTCTCTCTCTCTGTTTCATTTGTACTTCTATCGTTGATCATAAAAATCTTTCTTTTTTGTGTGCGTGTGTGTGTATTCTATATATAGATTATATGTTGGGAGAATTGGATGTAGCAACCGTTCAAATGACATTCGTTCAGTTCAAATGACCATCAAAGCTTCATTCCACGTGAACGGCGTGAGAATGATATTCAAATTGGTGTGCATATGAATGTGTATATGGTGGTTGTATGTGCATGTGTGTGCTACCATCTTTCAATTACGTCAACGTATTTATATGTATAATTAATATTTCCTGGGATATAACATCTCCTCTAATAGTATCTCATTCTTTTTATGAATTAAGCTTTCTCTTTCAGCACCCCCTCTCTCCCTTCCTCTCTCCTCTGTCCTCTGTTGCTCTCTCTTTATCAATCTCTCACTATGTATATATCCCCCCCCCCTATTACTTCTTCTTGCATCATTTTTTTTCTTCCATTTATATCGGCCAACCTCTGATCGCAAATATTCATAATTCCTACTCTTCCTTGTCTATTCGCAGTTGCTCTTTGTCTTATTCCTTCATATATAATATTCCCTCTGTCTCTCTCTCCCTCGTATGATCTCTCTCTTACTCTCTCCCTCATCTCTTTCAAATTTTCTTTTTTTCTTACCAAATTATGCAGCCAAGTTTCACTCGGTGCTATCCAATTTGAGTTTCTTTTATTCTTTTTTTTTGTCATCTCCTCCTCCAACTATGGTTCGTTCAAAGTCGTTTTTTGCTTCTTTCACAACTCTCATCAGTAGAGCATTTCGTTCATCTGTCACCTATTTGCCATCATTCCCTATTCGCTTCTGCAAAAGAAGCAAGATCTCGTCTGAAATGGCATCTAGCTTTCTGCAAAACGCTGCTACCGACCGACCTCTGCTCCACAATCAACATTGCACGTCGTCGTTTATCTTCTTCCCTTTCATCGTCTTCTGCATCTTCTGCATCTTTTTATTTTTTTAAAACTAAATAGTAAAAAAATGAAAAGAAATTAAAGTAATTCATTGACTACTCCCAACAGTGTATTAGCTCCTCCTCCTCCTCTCATGTAAGTTCGTTTGAAGTAAGAAAGAAGTTGTGAAGCTGCCCCCCCACTCTCATACCCATTGCCTCTTCTTATTTCCTTCGTCTCCCTTTGCTCTCCTCCAATCTCCCTTGTGTCTTCACACTTTCATATGTTTTCATATAACTTGTGTTATGCAGAAAGACATAAAGCTTGGAAGATTCTCTTTTTGATGAAGACAACATTGAGATGATTGGAGTTGTTCCTTAAGTTGTCAATGGCAACTATTCCCTTTCCAACCAGTTTTCAAAACTCTTTTTTTCCAGCTTAGTTCTCAAACGATGACTTACCAAATGCTCTTTTTATATTTCATCCCAGACTGTTCCAAAGCTAGACTTCTCCTCAAATATTCTTCCTCTCGATCTATGTACTTGTTAGTTGTATGCGTGCGTGTAGGTCTCCCGCCTCCCCTTCTCACATGTCTACAAATTAAGAATGAATGATTATCTCCAATCATTTTTGACGGACTCTCTCTTAATTATTCTACAAAAAGAGAGAATTGTAATCAGACACGGAGAGGAAGGTAGAGAGAGAGAGAGAAGGAGGTTTATGCTAACCTTTACTAAACCATTTCCTTATTCGAATTCATTTATACTGTGACATGACAAACATCGATCAAGAAGTATGTTCTCCTCTTCTCTCCCTCTCTCCTTACTTCCTTCCCCTCTTCTCTCTCTCTCTCTCTATCTGTATGATCCCCTTTGAACCATTTTTTGATTTCCTATAGTAGTAAGATAGTAATAAGCATCTTCTAATTGTTAAGAACTTGGCCAATCATATCAAATTGTTCTTTTTGAAGTAGATCACGAGCCATTTCAATTAATAATTTGTATGAAAATTCTCCTTTTATGTCAACAAACGGAAACGTCTCTTCTCCTTCATCTTCTGTCTCTCTCTCTCTCTAGCTCTCTCATCGTCTCTCTCTCTCTATATCATTGTCTCTCTATCTCTCTTCTTCTCTATAATTTCAAAATGTATTTCTTTTTCTGATAGTTAAGCTCTTGAAATATTCGTTTTTATCTTGTTAGAGCACTTCGTTTTGACTTGTTTATCTTTGTTAGTTTCACAACCCACGTCTTCTGTTCTTCGTCTTCATCTTTACTTCTTCGTTTTCTAAAGTACTTCCACTCATCTTTAGATCTTTTCAAGCCTTCTTCCCAATTAATATTGACTTTTCTTTTTATTTCACAGTTTACCAATATCCATCCATCCATGACATCTTTTCCATTTCTGTAGTTTACTTGTCTTTATCACAAACCATCGTTTCTTCTCTCATCCCTCCCCCTCTCTCTCTTTGGTACTCCCACACTTCCCCCTCACTCCCACTCTCTTTCTCTCTCTCTCTCTCTTTCTCTATATCTCCTTTGTCTCTTAAACACCTTTGACTCCATTTCCTGAATTTCATTTTTTACCAAAAGCAAATACACGTTCATATTTGCAGAATTGAATTTTGTTCATTTTCGTTGTTTAACAGAAGGATAACCAGTAAGTCTTGTCTTAATCAAGATTCTCATAAATCTCTTTTTCATTTTCGTCTTCTCATCGTTTTGGGAATTACCTTTGTGTCCCATGTTGTCTGCAATTCTCATTGCTGCTGTGCTGCTTCAATAATTAGAGTTTCGTTATCTTATGTAATTGATTCCCGTCTTCCTCTCTTTCTCTCTTTCCCCTTCTCTCTCCATATAACACATTCATCTATCTATCTCTGTGCTCCACCTCTCTATCTCTCTTTCCTCTCAATCTTTCATTTTCATGTTCCAAAGTACATGGAGATCTCTCCTGTGTGTATGTGTGTGTTGCAAAGAATCTCCTTCATTATAACTATTTGGGTGATGAATACAAATGAATTGCTGTGTTAACCAATGCAATGAACTTCTCTTCTAATCGCCTCTCAAATGATTTGTGCTGGGCTTGGACGTACTTCTTCATTCCCCTTTACTTGTTGCTCCTTGCGACAGTCCCCTCCACTCTCCCTTGTTCGGGTTATTCTTTTGAATGTATGTGTGTACGTTGTTCTCATGAACTTTCGGATAAGTTTGTCGTCGCAATCAGAGCCATGGCTGTCTTTCACATAATTTTGCTCTTTTCCTGTCTTTTTTTCAAAGAGCTACTCAGTCAAAGCAGCGTAGGTTTCCAAATTTTTCTTCTTCAATAGAACGATGCCTTAAATTACTGTAACTCAGTCTCTTTCTCTCCCTCTATCCATATTCTCCTACCCCTTCACTCTTTCTTCTTTTTCTCTGCTCTCTCCAAGCCATACCTTACTTGGTCCGACATCCTCATGCATCCTACATATTTCTTTGTCTTCATTCTCCCATAAACTATCATTACGTGTGAATTTGGTGGAATTTGCAATCTTTGGCTTGACAGCTGACATGAAATCTTGGGAATTGTTGACTAAACGGCCTTTTAAGACTATTCCATTGCGTATATGGGCATTTGAATCGGAGTTTTATGAAAGATACCTTCTTCACACGTTCCTCTTACCATTCTTCCGTTTGCCAATCATGAATGTCCTTATATGTGCCTGTCCTCATACTTCCGTTGCTTCTTTGTTCGTTCATGTACTCTTCGTCATACTTGTTCACATCCCTTAGCTGATAAATGAAATAACAATGTTTCAGTTCCGTCCTTATAATGTCTTGAGAGATGATATTCAGAAGCCTTTCACTGGGCATTTTCATCATGACATTAGCTTCTGCTGATCGTTTTCTTAGAGATCCTCCTCCTACTTCAATCAATCGTTATCGACATCCATCATACTATCATGATGATGACGAGTATTTTGATGGGCCCACAGTCGGTGTGGTGAGTAACATGCTAATTGAATTATCGATTGATTGCGGTATGCTAATTTCAGTTGAAAGAATACAACGCTTCCGAAAACAATGAAATCCTCATCAGCTACTTGTCGGCTGTGTCTAGAGTTCCCAAGAATATGGAGGCCGTCTTGAAAATTCTTTCAGAATCCAAGGTATTACTATAGTATTTGAAATGAAATAGGAATATCATGTTGGCAGATGTCCTCCGAATCTTCTTCTGATCACGAAAAATATTCAAATTCTATTCATTCTCTCTCTAATTGTTTTCGCACAGACTTTGACGGTAACTTGGTTGTTATTATTTTGGTTACAAACGTGTTTACTTTGAAGGGTCAATGATCTCGGGTGCTTTACAAGTAGCGATTGATGAAATCAATGCCTCCAACGATATTCTCCCCAATCACAAACTGACTTACACATTTGAAAATACTTGCGGTGATGAACGAAGAAGTATATTCTCATACATTCGGATATGCAGCTTTCGTTTGTTTTTCCAGGCACTAAGTTCTTTATGAAACATTGGAAGGAGGGAGCTCGTGTCTTCATAGGTCCTGAATTGAATTGCCGAACAGAAGCTCAGATGGCTGCTGCTCAGAATCTCCCAATCATTTCATACAAATGTAGAGATCAGACTGTTTCTGATAAATCGAAGTGAGTTTCATTTCCTCTATTGTCTATGTCATCCTCTTCCATCCAGGTACAATACCTTCACAAGAACTGTCCCAGCCGAGACAGATATAACCAAGACGTTCATATCATTAATGCGAGAGTTCAATTGGAAAACGTTTGCTGTAATATACGAAGACTTAACTCAAAATAACGAAATGCTTCTTGCTATTCGAGTAAGCCTATCTCATATTGCATTTCATTTCCTCATAACTTCCATTTCAAGAGAGCCATTGAAGAAGAGAATGTTCGAGTTCCTGAAGGCGAGAATAAGTATATGATTAACAATGTTTCAATTGTTCCAACATTCTCAGAAATCAAATCTGAGAAACTTGTAGACAGCATTATCCAAGACACAAAGGACACTACTAGAAGTTGTATTCGGTTTTGATACTCATCTCATCATTTCTTTTTCAGTTTACTTAACATTTGGTAACGTCAGGATGTTCCGAAAGATTCTATTCGTCATGGGTCAACGAGGATTGATGGATAAACAAGACTATCTTCTTATTTACCTCGATACTGATTATAATTGGCTGAATGTTTATCATGCTATGAATAATCATTTCGTCAGAAGTAAGCAGCAGCTTTCTCCTCCAACTCAAGTGATGCTATTCCAGATACTATGATTGATTTGTCATCTTCATGGGATTTTCCGAACTCATCCGATCGCAAAGTTGCTGAATATCTTCGAAATGCTTTAGCAATCATCCCGAGTCCTGTTCGTCTGGATTCTGAGCGTTTTTCAAAGTTCTGGCAGTCTGCTAATCAACATCTTATAAACTTTGGAGTTCAAAAAGATCCTATAGCGCATAATTGGTCTATTAAGGTAAATAGCTTGAATCAATTTCAATTGCTAACCATCCTCTATTGCAGGTGAATAGATTCGCTTGTTATCTCTACGACGCTGTTTATCTCTATGCGACTGCTTTGAATGAGCTTTTGTCGGATACGGTTGAAGAACAGGTAATTGAAAAGCTTAAGTATGGCTTTACGTGACAACAATTAGGCTCGTGGATATGATCCAACACGTGACGGAGACGCAATTACTCGAAGAATCATTGGACGGAGATATGACAGTTAGTCAATGTCAACGAAATGCTGTTTACAATTATGATTTTGCAGGTATGCAGGGATTCGCTATGAGAATTAATGATTTCGGAGACGCTAAAGGAAACTACACTCTTTTGAGTTGGCAGGTACTGTCATTATCACAAAGTATATCTATTGAGCTTTTACCGCATAGGCTGTTCAACCTGTTATGAACAAAGACAATGCTGATTATTATCCTCTTGATCATGCCCTAGACATCACAGCAGTCTTCGTTGAAGATTCATCTAGCGATGGGCGTCCTCCTCGATTAGAGTAAGCCAAGCTTAATGGATAAAGAAACAACCATATTGAAGCTTCAAAAAGCCCATAAAATGGTTCAATGGACTTCCCAAAGATCGACCGGAGTGTGGTTTTCATGGAGAGTTATGTAGTCATGGAGGATATATATCTCTGATAGTACTGTTGGTTCTATCAATCATCGTCTTTGGTTTTACGTTGATAACCTCTTTCGCGTACAGGTATGGTCTACAAGATTATTCACGGAACAGGAAGATACAATTTTCAGAAGTCGAAGATTTGAGAAAGAATTACATTCTATTTGGAAAATAGAGCCACGTGAGATACAAAGAGTCACCAAGAAGTCTGGTTCGACTACTTCATTGTTTGTCGAGGGCAAAGAGGTAGTATTGGTTTTGTAATCTGTTTTAATGCTCATCTCGTTCAGTATTTTGATCAATCATGTTTCACCGAAACCGACAAAAAGTTTGTTCGAGATGTTGCTCATTACAAAGGTTCTATCGTCTTCCTGAAAGGTTATCCAGTCGCTTCGTTGATCTTCATTTTGAATTCGTTTCCAGAAATCAATTATGGGAGAAAAACTAAAGAGTTGACTCGACAAATGAAGATAGAAATGAGAATGTTGAGGCAGTTAGCTCATCCGAACATCAATACGTTTATGGGCAAGCTTGTGATTGTGATTATGATAATCTGTTTATGCTTTTGTAGGTATTATCACTTGTGCCCATTCTATCTGTGTTGTACGAGAATTCTGTGCTCGTGGCTCTTTGATGGACTTACTACTTAATAAGGATATGAAGCTCGATGAGATATTCATCGTTTCTTTCATTGATGATCTTGTTCGAGTAAGGAATTGGAATTTATTATACAAGTTGAATTTTGCTTTCCAGGGAATGACTTATCTTCACGAATCGGAGCTGAAGGTTCATGGAAATTTGAAGAGCACGAACTGTCTCATTACTTCTCGTTGGATGCTTCAAGTTGCTGACTTTGGCTTGGGTGAACTTAGAGACGGAAGAGAATGGGATAGTGGACAGGCATTCGTATGTTGACATTTCCATGCTGCTCAAAATATCCTTTTAAGTGGGAAAATCAAATTTGGACTGCCCCAGAACATCTCAGAGACAGTTTGTTCGGACAGCAATCGTTCAAACGTAAATAACCATTCTAATGAAGAATTCTCATGGTTCTTCTTTTCAGCAACACAGAAAGGAGACGTTTATGCTTTCGCAATCATTCTCCATGAGATTGCTCTCCGCCTGGGTCCTTTCCGCATTTTTGAAGCTGGAGCGCCATCAGTAGAAGGTTTCAGAAATTAATTATTTCTTGTTTAACTATAAACTTCGCAGAAGTAGTACGACAAGTGTCAGATTGCTATCTTCGACCTGTTATTCATAGCACCGACATTACCAAAGGAGTCCTGGAAACGATGAGACAATGCTGGGATGAAGTTCCGGAAAATCGACCTGATTTCCGGTCTGGCATCCGCAATGGATTACGCGAGCTTTTCGTTAAGCAAAAGAAGCGTAACATTATGGTTCGTATTATCATATCAGACCCACAGAACTGTTGCATTCATTCAAACATGGTTGAAGTCTGTTGAAACTGATTGTTTTTTTAGGATCATATGATGGACTTGATGGAAAACTATCAGATAACGTTAGAAAAGAAAGTATTCGAAAGAACTAAGCAGTTACATGAAGAACAACAACGTAGTGAAAACCTTCTACAACGGATGCTTCCTGCGTAACTAACAATTTCTCCTCTTTTTTATACGACGCGATTTTCAGATCTGTCGCTCAGCAACTCCTCTTAGGGAATAATGTTGTACCAGAGTGTTTCCCATCCGTTACTATCTATTTCTCGGATATCGTGGGTTTCACACGGATTTCCGGGGAATCGACGCCTCTGCAAGTTGTGGCCTTCCTCAATAAGCTATACACCCTCTTCGATAATATCATCAAGCAATATGATGTGTATAAAGTCAGTTTCTTTTGAGGTTCTTAGACAGTTTTTTCATCTTCAGGTGGAAACTATTGGTGATGCATATATGGTCGTGTCCGGTGTTCCCGAATATCGAACCGAGGTGTATCATGCAGAGCAGATAGGTTACTCGAAAAGTCAATATTTTAACATAATTTGTACTGTCTAGGAATGATGGCGTTGCACCTCTTGTCGGCTGTTCGTAATTTCATGATACCTCATCGTCCGGAGGAACAGTTGATGCTACGTATAGGCATACATTCTGGAAGTTGCGTGGCAGGAGTTGTAGGAAACACGATGCCGAGGTGATTGATAACTTCTTTATTATTCGTACATTTATCTGTAGGTATTGTTTGTTCGGTGACACTGTTAATACTGCAAGTCGTATGGAAAGTAATGGAGAACGTATGCTTCTAAATCAATATCAATAGTTTCACACATCTGTTTCAGCTTTGAAAATTCATTGTTCTCAAAGTACAAGAAATGTTCTGACCACCATACCAGGCTTTATTCTTGCAGAGAGAGGAACAGTGGAGATCAAGGTTAAAAAACCTTTCTAAGTTTTGTAAAGTAATCCTGTCTATATAGGGAAAAGGAACTATGACCACTTATTGGCTGTTAGGAAGATATGGAGCAGAGTTCTCAACTGACTACGAGAAAGAACAAACCTTCGACATAACTCAACTGATAGCTCCAGACCTTTTCCCAAGAAATGCCAGCTTCCGTCCAACTATCCGGGGCTCTACTTGGGGTATTGAAGTCATACGTTTCTTTTATCAAGTTCCTTTGTTCAGGTCTAAACAGAGACTCCACTCTCTCGTTAATTCAAAAGGATTCGTCTTTCTTCAAACGTATCGATAGGTCCATTTCCAGAGTAGGATCAATTTTCCAGGTGTTTATTTCGTTTCTATGTTATGTAATGCGAATTTGTTTAGGATCCCATATCAATGTATTATTCAAGTCAGAACGGTGGAATGGTTTCTATTGGAAGTTCATACAAAGAGTTGACCTCAGTAAATGAAGAAAATGATTTTCTTTCGAACAACAACAACATGAGGTACTTCTATATTTATTGTTTCCAAATCGATTTCTCAACCCAGCCGTAGTCGAAGACCGTTCGGAAAAACCCATGTATCGCGAGCTCTTGACAGTAAGGACGTAGCTCTACGTAAAAGGTTTGCTTGTCTTCAAGTTTATATATGAAGTTTTGTTCAAGATCTACTTCATTGCCTGATGGCGAGTCTTTGAACTTGGATCAGCTCATTCAACCTAACTCCACTGCACCAGTATCCTCTTCGTTATCTAGAAGAAATGCTGAGTACGTTTCCATTTATTATATCTCACTCTTGTTCGTGTTCAGCTCCCATTCGTTGAATTCTGACTCACCTTCTCCTAGTCAATATCCTTCCTACAGAGATTTAACGAATGTTCAAAGGTAACGCTTTATTGGGTTTTGTGGTGGCTACTAACACACAGATATAGAAAACGTGGTATGAGGATGACAGTCTGGCCTTCCAGAAAACGTTCTCTATCCGTCGGTGACAACTTGCAAATGCCAACAAGTTTTGATGAAATTGCTGGCAATGGAACTGAACACTTGATTGATGGACGAACCAAACGACGTCCGATGAGACGGTTTCTAAGCAAAGTTTGTTTATCATTCATATGGCTCATGAAGGAATGTGTTCAGGAGAGAAAGTCTGTTATGTCTCTGCATCAAAGCCTTTTGCGAGATCCATCACCGTTTTCAAGACTACGCGAAGCTTCTCCCTTCGGCCGACATAGAAAATCTATTTGGGGCTCAAGAACTTCTAAGTAATTATTTCTTTTCCAACTGTTTCAATATATCTATCTCAGTGACAGAGTTAGAGGAGATTCCATCTCACGTCTCTGGCGTCGCTTGCGGAGTAATGGATGTAGCGAGTATAGTGGGCTAGAAGACGATATGAACGGTAACGTATTCACAATTGAATCAGCTAACGGTAATTCTAACTAACTATATGAATATGGAGAAATATATTGTTCAGGTTCAATGAAGAGTAGTCAAGATCCTTTTCCAATAGAAGACACTGAAGATGCGTCAGAGCCATTGATTGAATTGAAAGCAGAACTCATGGTCTGAGTGGTACATGTGCCCGAAAGGAAACAAAGAAACATTCCGCATGCTCTAATGCAGCTCTTAATAATATTTAATTTTAATATTAACAACTAATAACTTGTAATGACCTATTGCTTTGATCTCTCTTTTTCATATATATTTTGAAATACTGGTTGTTCCTCTTGTTATGTAAGTATATGCTGTCTTCTTACTTTTCATTTTCAAACCATCCCCACTGTGATCTTTTTCGGGTTTTTTTTGTGTTTTGAGCTTGATTTTATGAATAAAGTCGAAGTTGTATTGAACATTGTTAACTTTCTATTCCTCCAAGGTTAAATACGCTTTCATATTTTCATTCTTTCTCTATCTACGGAAACTCTCAACAGTAGAATTCAGGAAGACATAAGCTTTTGCCAATTACTGAAGCAAAGACACCACTCACTCGGGAAAAAGTTGAGAATGAAGTAGGTAAGAGTTTCATTTCGAGCAACGATGATCTTAAGCGGTAACGTTCTTAGAAAATAAATCACTCGGTTGTAAGTCGTAGGAAGTTGGATGTTATCATTCGGCCAAAGGTATTTTGACTCGTCTAGTTATTAATTTTCTTTCTTCTGACAGATTAGCAAACGA